TTTTTTATTGGTTCAATAGAAGAGAAAGAGAAGGGAGGTTGATGATTACAATGAGTGATTTCAGAGAAAAAAAGGTTAAGAATTGGTGAGGGAAAAAAAAAATTTGGGTCAGAGATTTTGATATGGTGAATTGGAAAGAAACAATTTTTTTTCTTTTTTTTGAGAAGATAGGATGATCTGAAAGAGTTTGTGAGGAGTTGGGTTTTTTTTAAGAACCATGGAGATGACAAGAGAGAAGTTCCTCCTTTGATATTTTTTTGTGTGTGATTTCAACAAGGGTTTTTTTTTCTTTTTTTTTTCATTTGAGTGGAGAAGTTGATTTGAGGATAAAGAAGGAAAAGAAAATAGAGGTGATTAGGGTGGAGCCGCCGTCGCCGGAATTACCGGCGGCGGCGGGAGCAAAGAACTTTTTTTTTTTAGGTCACCAAGAGCGGTGGCTCCGATACCATGTTGAAATATTGGAATAATAATATTGTTCATTGTTTTAAAGCTACTACTTACATCTAAAGTCTATTTGGTCATTTGCAGGCAAAACGTGGCCGTAAAACAGTGCAAGACTATGATACTGAGGAGGAGGCTAGGAATATCCATGCCAGTATTATATTCAGAAACTACTTCGAAAAGATGGTGGGAGGTTGATGGTTCTTCAATCCAATTTCACTGCTTGATATATAGACCTAGCTACTAGCTATAATAATAATGACAACAACAACAACAACAATAATAATAATATCATGCACTTGATAGACCTCTTATAATCTAATCAAATGCCAAATATATATCATATATATACTAGAGCATTATGGCATGTATAGACTTTAAATATATATGTGGAGTAATGCGGTGGATTATGTCTGTTACTCTTCACATTATATTAGGCTGGGATAGATGCTCATCCACCGGACCAAGTTTAGGTGTGTTGCTTTTCTTATGATCAATTCCCTCCCCCCCAAAATGCTATTTTATACTAGCATTATTTCTTAACTTCAGTTATCATTTGGGTAATTAACTTCAGTTAATATTTAAGGTATAAAATATGTGTTTTATTTTAGTTAGTTTGGTTTTCCACATATCATCTAATTTTCGACCTATGAATGTGTGAATTTTTTGGTATGGTTTTGGCATGGTACAATGTTATACCGCCCTATTTAAAATGAAATGGTGCCAATAAATGATTTTGGGGGACATACTGTGCCGAAAATTTTATATATTTTTAATCAATTTCGACTGCATTAATCTTACCCGGAGTAATATTTTAAAAATATATACTTCCTTTTAATCAATTTCGGTTACCGTCATTGAAGAGTTCCTGAATAGCCGATCACCACACAGCCTAGCAGCGTGGAAGCGGCATTAAACAACCTTGCCAACATGATGACAAATGTTATGGATAAATTGTAGACCTTTCCCGGTCCTTCTGGGGTCCCGAGGCAGATCCCCTAGACACAGTCGGAGCAGATGAATCCCATTCTGCAAAGAATTCCACACTACGGAGGAGATTGAACGAGAGAGAGAGGCAGTAAAAATACGTCTCGAGGAAGAGTTGGCCCTGAATACCCGAGAGTACGACAGGCTAACTCGGGACCCGATTGCTTATTGGGCAGCCGACCAGCCGCGCCATGTGAAGACTGGGAACCCCAAGGGTTCGGTCTTTGAGGCAATTGATGTGGGGTTTATAGGCCAAATGGTCAGTGCACGAGTGGAAGAGAATCTAGAGAAAGCCCCGCTTGGATGAGAACCACCCCAGCCGAGCCACGTTGAATCATCTAACCGAGATCCGCGGCGCACCAGATCGCGGGCTGAGCCAAGACAAGTTGCAGAAGATGAAGCCCATAGCCAGGTCCGGGTCCCGGCGTCTCAATGCATGGACCAACCCAATCTGGGAATGGGGGATTTCCAAGATGCAGCAGAGGTTAAACCACGGCCGGGTCTTTACAACCCGGATGAATACCCCATTGGCTCCAGAGATATTTGCAAAACCATACCCGGTGGGATTTAAGGTCCCATTTGTCAAACGATATGATGGGGAATCGGATCCCCAAGAGCACATAAAGAGTTACGTGCAGATGATGATAGCCGTGGATGCAATAGATGCCCTGATGTGTCGTTTTTTCCAGACCATCGATAATACGGTGGCGGACTGGGTCAACGGTATTCCTTTTGGGTCGATTCAGACCTGGGACCAGTTGGGTATGGGCTTCTTGGAGCATTTAGCTTGGAATTGCTGCCCGAAGAAGCATTTCACACACCTGGCTTCGATACGCCAGAAGAATGGAGAATCCTTGAAGAAATTTCTGACACGTTGGAGGAAGGAATCCAGGGATATGTGGCTTAAATTCTATGTAGTGTGATAATGTGATAAGATAGGCAGAAAGATTTTTTTGGACGGGGTAGAGAGAACTTAATTAAACGAATGTTCTAGCAAAAAAATTGCTCTGGATACTCTCTACCTACCAGGGCACCATATTATCCCAAATAACTTAAGAGATATTTAAAAATTTTAGTAATGTACTCTAAGGGTACATTCCGTCAAAATCACTGTTATAAGTTAACAATCCATTAATTTGACATATTAAACACCTTAAAATTCATATGACGCTCTTATCATAATGACTCTCGGTAGCTCAAGTTTTATACTAAAAACATATACTAGATCAATTAGGAACATATGAAAAAAGAGACTACACATAAGTACAAGATAAACAAACGTAAATCAATACACATAAAAGGTAAACGATAATAAAAAGAGGAACAAACAAATTAATACGCAATGAATAGAAAAGCTTAGAGCCATTAAAATATGAAAGAGAGGGTTGGCTATGTTATGAAGCCCTTTTGCTATCTCATACCGTTTCGGTATGAAGAAAAAAATGCTTTTGAGATATTATAAAAGAAGCAATATGTGCTCCTTAAAAAAGCATACCTTTCTCGACCTTGTGACTAAGATCAAATGTAGTAGTTGTTCTTATCAGTTTAATATCTTATATATGGGCCAATGGTCCACACGATATTAACTTAACTTTTTAAGGGGTAAAGCCCATCAAAATCCACTACCCTGGGTTGTGATATCACCTGATAGGTATGCATCATTCCAGAAATTTAAAGCATCCATATATTGTCCAAGCTCGTCCGTTGTATGTGCCTCAAATACATCAAGCACTTGAGTCCTTGAATCTAGTGCATTTGATCACATCTCCAGTAACACTTTTGTTTTATCCAATGTTTCTAAACAAGGTAACTTGCCCATAATCACACTAGCAAGTGGACTTCAAACACATGCTATGCGAATTGCAACAACTCTTTCACACACATTTTTACCACTCAAATTAGTGTTATTTGTTCCCACAAGTTCCTTTAATCTTGTGTTAGTTATCAAACCTGCTGAATCTCCTAAATTTTCAATAACCTTTTTTCTCTAGTTCTGTGGTTATTCGGGACCGATGTATGGGGAAGATGATTTGCAAAGGACGTGAGTCTCGAGGACTTTTTGTTCTTAATTTGCCAGATTCTATTGCATGTGTGTCTATCGAGTCAACAATTACTTTACATAATCGTCTTGGTCATCCTTATTTTGGAAAACAACAGCGTATGGTAACAGGTTTACCATGTCAATCACCCTAGCTTTGATTTGAGTCATGTCATCTTTGAAAACAACCCTGGCCTATAAGTCTTTTCTAAGAAGAGTCAATAAACAGGCAACATCTTTGTTTGATCTAGTCCATACTCATGTGTGGGGGCCATATAGGGTTAAGTCTACAATGGGATTTCAATACTTTGTAATCTTTGTTGATGATTTTTCCCGATATACTTGGTTATATTTAATGAAATAATGTTTTGAACTGTTTGATATATTCCAAAAATCTTGTGCGGAAAATCAAACTCAATTTGGTCGTACCATAAAAATCATTCATAGTGATAATGCCAAAGAATTTTTCAGTAATCCATATACAAGTACATGGCATCCAAGGGGATGTTTTAGCAATCCACGAAAGAACTGCCACCAGGTAGACATTGCACGCGCTATGTTACTACACTCTCATTCACTCGCACATTTTTTGGCACATGCCATACTTAGTGCATGTTATCTTATTAACCGAATGCTTTCCTCTGTCCTCAATAATGATATTCCATCTTATTTCCAAACAAAGAACTCTTTTCCTTACTAACTCGAATGGTTGGGAGTGTTTGTTTTGTTCATGACACTATGCCCGGACAATCAACAATGTTTGCCTAGTCAATTAAGTGCATTTTTCTTGGATATTCTAGACCCCAAAAGGGACATCGGTGTTACTCACCAATGTCACAAAAACATTTTGTTTCTGCAAGCGTCACATTCATCAAATCTTCTTTCTACTATCCAAATTCTCAAGAAGAGATATCTCATTTATCCGAGTTTGTTCCAAATCTTTGGACCGATCTCACCAGTATCAAATAATTAACTCTAACACTATAGACTCACCAATTGAATCTATCACACCACCACCTTATATTGTTCCACAACAACCTCATTATAGGTTTATCATCGTCGACCTTGTGCTCCTCAAGAGGTTCAGGATGTTAAGTCTACATACAATTCATCTTCTTCTGATTCGAATCTAGACTATGAGGATCTACCAATTGTTCATTGGAAAGGTACACGTTCCACTCTTAACCCATGTCCCATTTATAATTTTCATAGCTATCATCGTGCCAACACTTCATATTCTTTACTTCTTTCTCATTTATCTGATGTTCCAATTCCAAAAACAACTCAAGGGGCTCTTTTACATTCGAGATGGAGACAAGCAACGATGACAGAAATGGAGGCTCTTCAGTCTATTAGGGCATGGGACCTTGTCCCACTCCACCAAAAAAGAAAGTGGTAGGATGCCGATGGATCTACACAGTGAAAGTTAGTGCAGATGGTACCATTGATCGTTTTAAGGCACGATTGATTGCTAAAGGCTAAACTCAGATATATGGACTAAATTATACGGATACTTTTTCCCCAGTTGCTAAACATAATTCATGGCAGCGGTGAGACATCGGTCATTGATGCAGTTAGATATTAAAAATGTTTTTCTTCATGGTGATTTACAGGAGGAAGTTAATATGGAGCAACCACTAGGTTTTGTTGCTCGAGGGGAGTATAATCTCGTGTGCAAACTAATTAAAGCAATCCCTATACGGTTTAAAGCAACCACCGCGTGTTTGGTTTGGTCGCTTTAGTAATGTTGTTCAATCATTTGGCATGCAGAGGAGTGATGTTGATCATTCTGTCTTTTACCAACAGCCAACCTCTAACGGGTGTATATATTTAGTGGTTTATGTTGATGATACTATTATTACAGGGAGTAACAAAGGAGTTGTGAAATTAAAGAAGCATTTATTTAATACATTTCAAACTAAGATTTGGGAAAGTTGAAATATTTTCTTGGCACTAAGTTGCACAATCAAGTGATGGTATTGTTCTCTTTCAAAAAAAATACGCTCTGGGCATCCTTGAAGAAACGAGGATGCTAGAATGTAAGCCCATTGATACTCCCATGGATCCAAATCTCAAGCTTGTATGGGAGCAGCTATCTAATAAAGAGGGCTATAGAAGACTTGTTGGCAAATTCAAAAAAAATCAAGAATAGAAAGAGAATTATAGAGAGAGAGAAATAAAATTATAAAGAGAGAGAGATGGATAGAGAAAGTTAACAATGAAACAAATAATTAACGGTATAATTCCCTAAAAACGATATAAAAGTAATTAAATATTGCATCAACAAGAAATTGAGTAAAACAAGTTTATTATTTTCTTTTTTGTAAATTACATTTTAATTGTTATACACGTTTTTCCAATTTGGCTTTTGGCTACCGTTTCTTTTGGTTTGCCTTGTTAAAGTTTTATAGAGGTCCGTTTGAAAATGGTCAACTGGTTAGATTCAAAATATGGTTCAGACTAGATGTCTTATGATCCAATTTGATGACCTTTACCCCTTTCTAAATTCTATCACCACGTATTATATTTGTATTTTTTCTCATATTACTCTTCTACAATTTTTCCCTCTCACAACAATTCATGTTAAATGTTCCCACACGCCTAATGCATACCTATTGCTAACACTATGTTCGGGTCAAGGAACTTGAGAGGGAAAGGAAAAGAAAAGAAATGAGATGAAAATAATTTTTTAAGTTTGGTTAGAGTGGAAGAAGAAAATTGAAAGGAATAGAAAATTAGAAGACAAAATAAGGTAGGAAGAAGGAAAATTGGATTCCTTTCATTTTGGTGAGAAAAAAAGAGCGAAACCATTTTCTTTTCAATTCCTTGAACCAAAAGTAGGGTTAGTGAAAAAACAAAAAACATCTAGAAGCGATAGTTGGATGCACAAATAAAGGCCTCACTTTTCACCGATGCACTACTTTTGATTGGAGAAGTCAATTTAAAAAAACTTTCTTTAGAACTTTTACAAGGCAAACCCGAAATTAATGGAAAGTGCAAAGCCAATTTGAAGTAATGTCTATTATTATCAAATTAATTTACTACAAAAACAACTTTTCAAACTCAATTGTTTGTTGACGCAATAGTTGATTGTGCTTTTGTGGTTAGTTACTTCATTGTTAAATATATGTGGCATAGTTTTTGTAGAGATAATTAATGAATTTAAGTTTCTAGTGTTACATATGTGTTTTGAAAATCGGGCCGAAAATCAGGCTGGACGTCTAACCGGAAAAGCAATTAGGTCAAGGGTTAACCGGTCGAACCAAAGTTGATGACCCGGTCAACATATCGATACCTATTCCCACATGTTAATGTGGTCTTATATACTATGTAATTTTCCAGAATTATATTTCGTTGATTGAAATAACAAGAAAAATAAAAAGTGACGTATTAAATTATAATTAGTATATATTACAAGTACTTGATTTTCAAAGATGATCATAACTTGTTAAGTTTAAATGATTCATATATATTTTTATATAAAAAATAAACAATGTTCATTTTATTTCTTCGAACAATTTTTGGAAGTCCATGAAATAAGGAGATAATAGAAAACAATCCGTTTAACAACAATTAAGGAGAGAATATATAACACATTGCACAGCATGTTGAACAAGTACCAGCTCAGTTGGTTGGTGACTTGGAGAGGTAAGCAAGTCCTAGAAGGACCCAGGTTCGATGCCTGCATGCGCCCGTTGTGAACCGGACCGGTTTCATGTTCAGGTCACGGCAGTCTGGTCTGGTTTCAATAACATTACTTACATTTTGGTCTAGAAAATTTGAGGACGAAAGTTTTGTAGGGTGGGGAGAAGTGTAACATCAGGGTTCGTTTATATACGATTTCTAATTTAAATAGTTCGTATCCTTTTTTTATAACCCAAATGTATGTACGGAAACATCACACCAAGTTATATCCAGCTTTGGGCACACAATTTTGAACACGAAAAACATTAACACATAGATGTAGATGATATTGCATGGTATATTGAACCCACACAGACACCCCTCCCTGACCAAAGAAAGTGGTATGAAGAAAAGAAAGTACATACTTTTTTGGTGCGGGTGAAAGAGTTCAATTAGGGAGTAGTTTGCGAGTAACAAGCCTTCAAGATCTCCTCTATTGGTGGTTCATCTCCTGCTTCCTTATCCTGCACAAAGTTCAATTTAGAATACCTGCCTGCATAATCCCTCTATCTCGTGGAAGGTTTCAAATTCCGTTTTTCGTTTTCTTGTGCACGAAATAAGGCTTCATCCGTTTTACATTCCCTTTAAGGAAAGAATTATGTGGTTCATATTATTGTTTCTCTTTGCTCTACGTAAGTGATTAGTCTCAACTAAACTATTCCATTTTTCTTAATAACCGAGAGCCCATTTTAATATGGAACCTTATTTTGGGACGCATAGAGTACTTAGTATGGAGAGCGAAAGCATTTGGAGGGGGGGGGGAGGATAAGTCCGATAAGACCCCACCTTGTGGATGTACAATATGTTAGTTTTACCGGGACCTGCAACAATTATTCCACCTTGTTGCCTGAAAATTTTACCAGCACAATATGATTAGGTACGCGCACAGGTATTAAAAGAAAAAATTTTAGTTACGTTTCTCTCATAACAAGAAACCGATTCTTGGGAAGTACTTACAACCGTAGTCTAACTTAGTTTCCTGTATCTGGTTATGAGTTTCACACATCAGACTTATAATGTATGGTTGGCGGAGCAAGAGCGCACAGAAAGAGTTTTCTCTAGGGGGTTAAGACAGACATTGGTTCCATGTACGCTTGTAAGGTTTTCAAACCGGCCTGCAGTTATATTATACAGCAAGTTATCTTTATGTTTTGATATTCCAATTTCTGCACAAGATTACATACTTTAGGAGTGAATGTGGTCGAAATGCCAGACACGAATCCGAATGCCTCATACGATGCATGGCTAGGGTCTGCGTAAACTTCTGCAATAGACATACAGTTATATGAAAACATTTAAACAAATTTGGTTAAGATCTTCTACAATGTCTAAACAGGTGCTATCTTGGACCGTATCACTTCCATTTGCATTATAAAGTGGCATGGCATGACCATGCTTGTTAAGTCGAAAAGTCAAGTCGAGTCGGTAAAGAGAAGACTAGTGGATTAGTCGACTAGTCGGCCTACTAGTCGTAGACTAGTCAACAAATTACAATTAGTATTGAAATTTTTAACATTATACACACACACACACATCTTCGTTGACCCAAGATAACTATATGTATTTATATGACAAAATATCATTACCAAAACAAAAGTATGTTTAAAGGTAGCACATAAAAGTCACATAATGAAGGGTACATAAGAAACAAATATCCTTCAATCTTCAAAAACCACATACCACCAAAGATAATATGCACAAAAAATAAGTCAAAGAACATATTAAATTATTTTATTCCATGTTTTGATTTATCAAATATCATCATCCAACGTTATGCCATCATGACGATTTTCTTCCATTGTGGAAGATGGCGATGAAAGAGACATCGAGATTTGAGAAGGGTTAAAGTCGACTGTGATTGTGCTGTGAACCGAGGGAGGCGATGTTTTATGGAGTTTTTTTAAAAAAAAATTTAATGAAATTTGGGCCGGGTCGGATCGGGTTGGGTCAAATTAGGTAGGTTTTTGTCAGTAACTAGTCGTTGCCTAAGCTCGACTAGTCGTCGCTTTGCTCGCCCTGACGACCAGTCCACCTAAATCGCTAGTCGAGATGCAAGTCGCCACTCAGAAAACGACCGGACGACTAGTCGGCGACTAGTCGGTGATTAGTCGACGACTTGAAAACAATGGGCATGACATTTGTTTGCTACGGATGCATTGGTTTTCTCTCTTCCGAAAAGGTATATGACTTCGGGCTAAATATACTAAGACACCATGGATGCCATGGATCTGAAACTCAAGAAGAATCAAATTCCTCCAAAAAAAATTCATTTATTGTTTGGCATTCAGAATAGACCGCCAACCAAAGATAATTTGGGAGCCAGTTTGTGGATGGCTTGTGAAGAGTGTTGTCTGATGAGTTTTGGTTGTGGTGTGACCCAATGACCTTGTACATAACATAATTCTTTTGGGTCAATAACAATTTATTGTTTATTGAAACAACTAGAAGAAGAAGCCATTCAAATCCTTAATAAGCTTACCTCCTTTAAATTTAGTTTGTGCAGCAAATGTCTTCGCCTGAAAAGATAAAATAAAACCTTTGTAACCTTAATGTGTTTAGCGTCCAATGCCAATGGAGAGAAAAGAGTCATTTCTGACATTGTTTAGCTTTGGGTAATAACAGATTACATCAAAATGACAGATTAAATTTCATGTCTTAAACTTTTTTTATTTGAAGTTTTTAGCAGTAAATGTATCAATGCATCAAGTCTAATGAAAACATCTTTTTTTTATACTTGGTGGGGATTATAATGGGTTAGTTGTAGGGTAAAAGAGCAATGACAAATGGAAAGAAGAGAAATGACAAGTCAAACTAGATAGCATGTTGACCACAAGAACAGTTGTAACGATATAATTGGAATCTTAATTTTTATTAACATGATGCAATACCATTCTCTTATATACAAATTTCATTTGGGAAGATATGGGATTATGAAACTGTAAGTACATAGAAAAATGAAGTATTAAAAGATTCAGATTTGCCAATCCACAAGACTCATCATGATAAGTACCTGATCAGCACTGCCTGGTCCAATTAAGACAAGTGCCACACCCGAATCATCCATTTTATCCTGCCATAAGAAGAACGAATCAAATGTCATAACCCGCCTTAACTAAAACTTTGTTTGCATAAAATCTCCTTTCTGATTTTCAGTGTTTGTCACAAAAATATTTCCCTCTTTTTTTTTGAAGACGGAAAGTCATTTTTCCGGAACAAATTTATATTTTCTAATTTTGTGGGTCCAGCGTATTGCTATGCATAAAGAGTCTCCCCAATAAAACATTTCCCACGACAATATAGTGATATACTCACCTGTCTCGCCATTATTCATGATTATATAACGACTATAGAAATAATCAAATTGAAGATAGACCATCAAATACAGCCTTAAAACCAAAGATTTCAAATTTCCTTGTTAACACACAAAGCATTACCTTGAATGCAGCAAGATAATCAGCCCTTTTGCGACAAAGCACGCAACTGCATTTAAAGAAAGAGGGCCGGGGAGAAAGTTCAATACATCTTTCCATTAGTTTTCTGCTCTTTTCAATGTGTGTATGGCTTACCCAAAATGACGGGCAAATGCAACAACGGCTCTTCTATCTTTCCACAAATCAGAAATAGGAACTGCTTTTCCTCCCAAATCACACACCTCCACATTCTCCAACACATTTATAGCCTCCTCACTCGCAACATGTGACTCAGTTCCTGCCTCGCCAGTAGCAAAAATGTGTTTATGGATTGGGTCACGAAATGTATGAGTCGAACTAAAGTTTAATACGGAGTATTTGTTCTTAACAAATTGTCTCCTTCAACTCATAGCAGTACCTTGGATTTTCCAAATGTAGTACTCATCCTTACATAAGAAAGGGCCAGAATGGTGATAACCACCACATCAAATCACAAAACTCAAAACCAGAGTTACCTCACATCAACTGAATATAAATAATTAAACATCAGAGGGGTTTTTTTGGATGAGTTATACCCGACACTTATTCTTAACATCATGCAAAAGAATTGTTATATATTTTGGTGTAATTGGAAAAACTACGACCAATGATATCCCAATAATCATCAAAGAAGTTTGGTGGTGCAGAGTGCACGCTTCGTTGAGTTTGCTAGGATAAAAGTCCCGTTTTATCGGGGGTTCCAAGGGGGCAGCGCCCCCGAGCAGGGTTCAAGGAGCGGCAGCCCCTGCGGGGTCCAAGGGGTAGAGCCCCTGGCTGGGGTCTCAAATTTTTTTTATTTTGGGCAAAGTGCTATGTTAAAAAATTCAGTTGAATTTTTATTTTTGAATTTTCTTTTAAAAGAAAAATTCGTTGGGATAGCATCGATTTCTTAAATGTCTCGCGCGAAGGATCGCGCGTATTAGGATAAAAAGACGCGATCGCGTCTTTTCTTCTCCACCACAATTCTATATATTCCCGGAAATCATTGGTCGAAAGGTGTTCGAAAATTCACAGTAATCCCATATTCGTTCTTGTTACTTTCGAGTTTTATCCGATTGAATTTTGGATTGAACAACCAAAATATTCAATACAACTCTCGATTGATCCGCGTTATCGTTATTTTCCGCAACAAAAAACACACACTAATGGCCTGTTTGGGAACTTAAATTTGTATTTCAAATTCAGATTTGACCCAAATTACATGTTTTGAAATCTAAAAAAAATGGATCCAGATTTGGGCCAAACTCCTCTAATTTTCAAACACTATCTAATATGGTTTCGAAATAATGATAACTCATCATAAATTAATAATAGTAATATTGTGGCCATCATCATCAACAATGATCATTACACTGAAAAAGGAGGCCAAAATAGTACCTGTGGGTGTGGAGGTGGATTTTGCAGATATTATGATGAGCCTTGAAGGATGGGAGGAGAAATTGAAGGGTTTGGGCTTGAATTTAACAGAAAAGCTAAGATTTTGATGAAGCGAGTTCCTGTAAGTGCTCCCGGCAAAGACGAAGATGCTGCGGTAGTTTCGCGCTGTTGTAAAGAGAGGTGCCGCCATGGCTGTGGTCTAGCCGAGATGGCACAGTCCATTTGATTCAAAGGAAAAATAATTTGAAAACAATTCACATCAATAGTCAAAACTCAAAAGATTAAACTCCCTACATTCCAATTTTGATTACAAATTAGTATTTGCGAGATAAAATCTCGTATTTTTTAAAATTATTTTATTTGTAAATTGTTATATCAATAAAAAAAATAATAAATAAATATTAAAAAATTGTATAAAAAATTCTACAGAACAAAATAAGCTATGATAAGAATATTATATTTTATTAAATAATCATTGAAAAGACACAAATAAAAAAAGTTATCGAAAAGTGAGAAAAAATTGTAATTAAAATTGGGACTGAAGGAGGACAAAATAATTTTAAATAGTTAAAAATAATAAAAGTAAACACGCAAATCACAAATTTAAATACTCTCTCTCCCAAAATATTTTACACTTTGCATAAAACAAATGAAATTTTAAGTTTTTTAATTTCATTTTATTTAAAGATTTGTCAAGAAATTGAAAATAAAACATGAAGTGCCAAAAAAATTCATTTTATTTAAAATATAAATTAGATTTTATTTAAAAATAAAATTTTTAAATAACAAAATTAATAAATCTTAAATATAATTTTTTTTAAAATCATTTTATTTAAAAATTACGTCAAAAATTCTTTATAACAAAACGTACCAAAAATATTTTATTTTATCAAAAAATCAATGGACGCGAACAAATAAAAGTTGTCTTGACTTTTAAATAATAAAGGCTGAAATCGTTTTTGGGTGGAGGAAGTAGGATAAAGTTATTTGTATCCCAAGAATTTGTATCCCATTTTGTACACTGCAGGGATGCACCAACATTTTATATTGGTGTAATGTTAATTTTTGTTAATGCACCAACACTTTGTATTAGTGTAAATGTTTTTTAACGCACTAACAATTTATGCCAGTGTGAACCATCAAAATGTTTATGCATACTTTTGGTGTACAAATGTGGTACAATTTTGAGCTAGAGTTAGCATGCTCAAAGGAAGTATTATACCGAAAGTATGCTCTAATGCAATGTGCAAATCTAACATTCTAATGTCCACTGCACATTTGCAATTTTGCATCAGGGGGAGCACATGCCAGGACTGCTCACGGAAATCCCAAACAAAAGTCTAGCCGAGATGGCATAGTCAATTTGACTAAAGAATAAAAATTTGAAAACAATTCACACCAAAACATATTACTCCCTCCGTACTAAAACCATCTTCCCTGATGACTTACGCTTACTAGGAATTCCTCGTTGAAGACCAACAATTGTGTTTACGAGGTTTGACCGATTTTATTTTCAATTCAATTTATTTGATTTTAGGTGTAAAATTAAAAGTAAAATTTACATACTTAAAAACTACATTAAAAATTCTACAAAACGAGAGATAACAAGACTATATTATTTTATCAAATAAGTAGCGAAAGTAGGTAAATAAAGTGTTTTAAGTTTGACCATGTGAATAATGATGGTGTAAATATAGCTGGGTAGGTTGACCGGATATGACCTGGACGCACTCTACTCGTAATAACTAATAAACACACAATCAGAACACAAAGTATGACCTAGACCGGGTAAATCTCCTCCGTCCGAATTATATTTCTTACTCTGTCTCAAAAGTGTACTTTTAGTGAGATAAAACTTGGATCCCCTCCTCTACCCATTGCTAACATACTTATAGAGGAGGATATGTGACCTTCCCCTGTTCATCCATGGACAAAATAGGAAGCTCGTGGGAAAGTCACTGTACATAATGGAATTACTATTCAATCATGGACTTGCCATGAATACAACCAAGAAGCACTGTTCAATCAATGACTTTAAGGTAGATTCTACCTAGCCAATCAACCCTGCAAGATGACAAACATTCTTTTCACTGTGTGCCTCGTGATGGATGAGCGGCGGGGTGGTCCCTTGGCCTCTGATGCTGATTGTCATGCTTGGGAGGATGGCCGAACATTAGGTAAGTAGAAGAATATGACCAATCACTTTTCCTCGAAGGCTGACCGGTCATTTCTTAAGCCCAACCTGTCTTTCTGGTCTCCCAGAATGTCCTTAATAACATTAGGTGATATTTTGGCTATCGCCCAAAATGTGACTGGTCACTTTTTTATGGAAAGTGACCGGTCAACTTTTGACTCGTCTCAATCGAAGAGTTTGTCCTTTTATATGCCTTTGATGGAAGGTGAGTGTGGGACTTTAACTTATTCTGATGTATCTAGACCCTATTTACACTCCCTAAGTGTGATGATCCCTTTGTGTGTTTGTTGGACAATGTGTTATCATGAATATGTATTTTTGCATTGTCCTTTGCCCATTGTTTTTTAGGTTTTGATAATGACAAAAGAGTGACAAAATATCATCATCATTTTGTGCATCAAGGCTAAGAATCAAAGCTACAACAAGTTCATATCCGTCCGTGAAGAAGGGACTTGAGCATCGGTGGAAGGAACGAGACCGAAGAGGTTGTTTCCTTAGTTGGGTAGTGTTTTCGGTCTTAGATTATGTGTTAAAGAGTATGGCATCTCTAAGGTTCATTCCCTTATCATCCTACCTTTAAAACACATTTTAGATCAGCCTTTGTGTGGGGAAGTTGCCTTTCTATTCGAATAATATTTAGTTTATTCGAATAAGTCGTGATCTTTCCTGTGACTGAAATTAACCGGTTTTATTCGAATAAATCACCATTTATTCGAATAAGTCCTGGCTTTTCACCCTGATTTATTCGAATAAATCACCATTTATTCGAATAGGAACTGGTTTTTTCAAGCCACGCAATTGATCCAAACTATTCGAATAGTTCTTGAATTATTCGAATAAGGCGACAGTTTCAACTACCAAACGGCTAGTTTTTTGAATGCTTTTCATCCCTATCCACTCTCTAACTTCTATATACTACCTTCTTTCGTGATAATCTTCATAAGAACACTTAGAACACTTTGAAGAACATATCCTTTGAATATCCAAAGAGATTCTACCCAATCTCCTCCTTATATCCAAGCAAGGCAATTGTTTTGATTACTAAATCATTTCTTGCTTGAGTTTTTCCGCATTGCTTGAGTCTTTGAGAGATATTGTCATATTCTAAAGGACTTCATTGTATTTGCAACAATCTACTCCGTGTTGGGAGAATTACTCGGTTGCGGTTTGTTTTCTTACTTTATTGTAAGGGATTTGTATTCTTGGTGTTGGGATTATACCAAGTGGTAGAAATCCGAACGGTTTGTGAAATCAAATGTTAGGTGGAAGAAATCCTGAGTTTTGTGAAATCAAAACTTCGGTGGTAAGATAAGAGGCTTGTGAAATCAAGTTCTCGAGTTGTATTCGGATTGTCAAACTCCGTTAAGTTTGACGGGTTAGTGAAGGCCTGAGCACGATTCCTTTGGGGACTGGATGTAGGCATTTAGGCCGAACCAGTATATATCGTGTGTGCATTGCTCTTATCCTTCACTTTATTTTGTTTGTGGTGCATTGTTTTTGTTGAATATTCGTGAAGAACGTTTCCGCGCAAAAAAACCAGTCTTTTGGGCAACACCTCTATTCACCCCCCCTCTAGAGGTGTGCGAGGCGTCTAACAATTTTTTCGATAGAACTTGAATGTATTTTTAAAGATGTAAAATTCAAATAAAAAAATCATCTTCTAAAGTGGTTATACATTTACATTACATCATTACACAATATGCACACTTGACTAAACTTAAACAAAAAAAAGTGTCCTCTTGTGTTCCAGATGTACAAACCAAAAAGCTAGATACACAAAATTATTTTGTACCAGTATCACATGTTGTCTCTCTATTACTCGCGTCATATCTTTACCCAACTTACTTTTATTTATCAATTATATTATATTTATTCACTAATATTTTACCATCACATCTAATTTTTACACAATTTTAGAAAAAATGTGTAAAAATAATTGTGAAGTAGAAAATCAAGAAAGATTTTGAATTTAAACTTACTCCATAATTTTGCAGGCCTAGATTCATAATAGGTGTCAAAAATATTTTATTCTATCAAATAATCAATGAAAACGAACATATAAACAAAAGTTTCTGTGACTGTTGAAAAAAAAATGTAACAGATATTTTGGGATGGAGGGAATATAATACACACAAAATAGAAAAAATAGTTTGCTAGAGACACCTTTTCAGATTTTGTCAATCATGCCGGCGAGCTTCACCAATTGGGAGTATAAAATGAATAATGATATCATTAGTGTTCAAAACTAAAAATGTAATACTATGTATATCTAAGGAGTGGAAGTATAAAATATAAGAATTATTAATAACTCGAAGATTAACGGTAGAGGTTCTACCATTAATAATATAAAAAATAGATAAGTTATGACTTAAGTCAAACAAGCCAGAGTTGTCACACACCACTTTCACCATTTGGGAATTTTCAAAAGCTTCACTAATCCGAAAATCACCCTATTTTTATCTTTCTTTTTTGGGTTGGGTATACAAGCCATGTGAAATCCTAGGGGCAATGTGCGAAAGTTTTCCCCAATTTCACCATTTCTTATTTTGGCTAAAAGTCAAAGTATGAATGGTTTATTGAATAGAGGGAGTATTAAAGATTAAATAAGACCGATATTTCGTAACTTTAATTTCAATACCTTGTAATAAAATATTCTAGTTTTTTGTACTCCATATTATTTTAAAATAACCTGCAATTTTTTTTTTTGAAAAAATTATTTTAAATAATTCTACTTCTTCACGTTTTTCAAAAAACAATCTCACTTTTTACTGTCACTAGAAATAATTTCACTTTTCGCATGTGTGCGAATTTTGGGTCGACGTTAATAAGCTAACGGCCATTTAACGAATTTTTTGGGAAAATGTTTGTTTTCACAAATAAACGACGATTGTTATTATTTATACAGAATTTTAAAAAAATATTCACAATTTTTGTAGTGTCATTTTTTTAAAAAATAATAATGGTATAGTATTAAAAAATAATTTGAAGTGTCGCTCAAGAAAATAATTGCAACTTACAAAAAATTTGTAGTGAGTTATGAAGTAAATAAATTAGTTTCATTGTGTAGAATAATTTATTGTGCAACTTCATAACTTTTGAAATATTATTTTGGAAAAAATAATTATTACCAGATTATTGATTATTGAAAAAAATACTTAAATTCGGTATTATTTATAAATAATTTTAAAAAACACATTTAAATTAAAAGTTAGAAACTAAAAAAATTAAAAAAAGAATTTGCCTAAAAGAATCTCGATCACTTTTCATTTATTTGCGAAAACAAGTACTTTGTATTTTTTAAAAATTCCATTAAGCAACCGCTAGCATCCTATCAGCGACCCAAAACTCGCACACATGAGGAAAAGTAAGATTATTTTCCGGGACAATGAAAAGTGAGTTTATTTTTTAAAGAACTCGAAAAAGTGGAATTATTTGAGATAATTTCCTTTTTTTGCGGATGAAACTTGGAGCAAAAATTTTGTTTCTCATGAAAACTAGAAATAACCTACTATTTGATTTTGAGCAAACCAACAATAGTTTTTTGTAGGAATATTATTCTCAACATTTCTATCAAAAAACTGTTACAATAAGTTAGAGGTAAGCATAGTCTATTTCGAGAAAACTAGGACAATAATTGATATTATTCTAAAATGATCTATAGTTAAAAAGAGGATGACGTTCATCCCCGAGGGCCCTTAGACCCAGCCGTACGGTCACTGAAAGGAGATGAATTAAATTTTAATAGTAAATTGGTGGCAAATAGTGGAGTTTGCATTTGGTACTTGCAGAGGTCCTATGCTTAACATAATTGCCTCTTAACACAGTTTCCAGAAAACGAACTCGAGTCTTACTCTCTTGGCACTCTTTACCTTGCTAACAGCCCAACTTCCACCAGCTAAAATATTATTTTAAGGCGATAGTTTGAATTATTTTCATCAAATTTTCTAGGGCTGGGCGCGGTCCGTGATGGTCCATGATATCACCGGAACCTATCACGTATCGCTCTTATTTAAACGGTTCGATATCGGTACAGTATGAACCATAAAACCATTCAGTACGATTCCGTTTCGAAACGGAACGGTACAATACCATAACCATGTTCAAACCGTGCCAAAAAATGAACATTCATCACTAAAAAAATATCAAAATAAAAGCATAATTTTGTATACAAAAGTACAATTTTGTTAAATAGAAGTATTGATTTCGAATTTAAAAAAATCATAAACATAAAAAAAAGCTGACGAGTTTAATTTTTTAAAATAGATTTTTTTTTTTCAATTCATACAATATCATACTATTAATAACTCTAAAAAAATAATGGTAATAGTAGTAATAAATATAATTTCAACAATATTAATGAAAGAATTTTAAAAATAAATAATATCATACAAAGTATTCCATATACGGTAAGATAAAGTAGACAAATAATTATTTGAGATATTCCTTATATAGTTTTGAACGGTTCCATACGTGATAATCAGTTTTTAATATTTGTATCACGGTCCCATCCCATTTGATATCGGTTTGGTTTCGGTTCGTAATAAAAAAAATCAATCTCGTTTAAAAATACATTCGGTACCATTATGGTTCGGTATAATACCATGCTGGTTCGGTTTTTTTGCCCAACCCCTAAAATTTTCCAATATTTCTATTACCCTTTTGTATGGGATTTGACTGATTTCCGGGAGCACTTTTGGCATATGCTCGAAGGATGCCAATGTGCAGAATCTGTGGACACTAGATTTGCACGTCGCGATTACAGATTACAGGGGTATTTCCGACAATTCCTCACGGTCCTGGGTGTGTGTGGGTCCCGTGACCCGTTTGGCGTAAAGCCTATAATCTCACACATCATCCCTTCCCCTCCATTCTCCCACATATTCTCTGCTTCACTGGAGTCTCCTCCTCCCACGCGCCGCCCCCTACCGCCGCGGCCGCTACACCCTCCCAAATCATTCAATCAATAATGGCCGCCATGAACCGCCTATTCAGATCCCCAACCTCCTCCGCTTCCCTCCTACGAAACTGCTTTTCCACCACCGCCGCCGCCTCATCGGAGACAGTGAAGCCGAAACTTTACCCAGATTCCCCTCTCACGAAGGCTCGAGATCCCAAGCCTAAAGGCATCCAGTGGGTGTTTCTCGGCTGCCCCGGCGTCGGAAAGGGGACCTACGCCAGCCGCCTGTCTGCTCTCCTCGGAGTTCCGCATATTGCCACCGGCGATCTCGTCCGTGAAGAGCTCAAATCATCTGGCCCTCTCTCTAAACAAGTATGCCTACCTTCCCTTTCTTCCAAGCTATTGTTTATATTTAGTTTAGGATCATATGAATACCAATTTCGTGAATTTCCATTATCAAAGTTCCCATTTTTAAAATATGTGCTATGGGTATAAATGAATTGCGCGTGTGTGTGAGTGTCTGTGTAATCATTCATTCTGTATGAGCTTATATATAGAAATTATGTTCTATGGCCGTCTGCTCTGGCTTTTTGTAGAAATTCAGCTTAGATTTTTGGATAATGAAATGACATCAATCTCTAAATGTAATGCATGTTGTCCTAATGTTGAGAAGAAAGTGCACAACTTGCCTGCAATCTTCTGGTCTTTGATCTTTCAATTCTCAATTGGTTTTCATCTTTCTGTTCTATCAGCTTTCAGATATTGTAAACCAAGGGCAATTGGTTTCAGATGAGATAATACTGAACTTACTGTCAAAGAGGCTAGAAGCTGGAGAAGCTAAGGGTGAAGCAGGATTTATACTTGATGGATTCCCTCGAACAGTGAGGCAAGCTGTAAGTATTTTTCTTTTTGTTTCAATATGATCTTATGAATCACATTCCTTTCTGTTTATGATGTCTCATCTCTGTTATGTATATGTTATAGAGCCTTGTCACACTGGAGGATTGCTTAAACATAGTTAGAAACTCAAAATGTTCTTTGATATTATGGACATGAATAGGTAGAAAATGTTTAACCTGCTTTAAAATATCTAGATGTTTCGTTGTTGAATTGAGATTGTGATTGATGCACAAGAAGGTAGCATTTGATTAACTGTAATGCAATATATAGTATAATGTTATCATCTACTCCCTCATCCCATAAAAAGAACCCAATTTCAGGATTCTACAATTTTTTAATCTAGTAAGACATTGGAAATCGCTAAATATAGTATCAGTTTTAGAATTGACTTGTAGGTTTAACTAAATGTAACACATTTAACTTGTTTGTCGTATTTAAACAGTATATATGGAGGAAATCTTTAGTTCAAATTGGACTCCTTTTTGGGACGAAAACAAGGTTGGAATCACGACTCTCTTTATAGGATGGAGGGAGTGTATTTTAAGTGTAAATTTACATTACCCATGCATTTGATTACAACTTATGAAGGCTTACCAAAGCGATTTCTAACATCAATGGATGATCATTGTAATTTTTTTCACTTTCTAGTGGGACTAATAAGCTTTTGGTTTGGAGGAGAGTGCAACATCTTAATTATTGAAATGAAAGACCCTTTTTCCTTGCTACATAGACTATGGCTAACCTTTTTTTTGACAAACAGGAAATATTGAATGATGTGACAGACATAGAGTTGGTTGTTAATCTCAAGCTTCCAGAAAGTGTATTAGTTGAGAAATGTCTCGGGCGAAGGATTTGTGGTGAATGCGGGAAGAATTTCAATGTGGCATCTATTAATGTCAAGGGCGAAAATGGGAGTCCTGGAATTAGCATGGCCCCACTACTCCCCCCTCCGCAATGTGTTTCAAAGCTAACCATTCGAGATGATGATACTGAAGCCGTTGTTAAGGAAAGACTTCTTGTGTACTACGAGAAGGTATTTCTTTAATTTCTACTTTAAAAAAAGTATTTGGCAGTGATAAAAATGAGAGTTACTCATTGCAATCCTACAAAGTGAGTGACATTAAAGAGAAGCTTCTGTCTATGAGGCCATTACTTCTTTGGCATTGAAGCATGATTTGAGTTTGCATATGAAATCTGAGTGTGTATTCCCTTTTACACCAAGTGATAATCGACTATTACGTCAAAGTTCTCTTTTACTAAATTTTTGCTTCGAGACCACATCTTGCGCTAGCTGACAATGGAAAATGAACTGAAATCAAAGGAATTGACATATTGACCTTCCATTTTTTATATTATTTTATTAATTTATGAATAAAATGTTTTTTAAACGTTCCATCTGTCTAGATGATTGTCTCACTTTCCTTTTCAATCTGTCTCAAATAGGTGTCTCATTTCTTTTAAAGAAAGAAAATGAGGTTCTCGATATTTTCCCTATAAATGCTAGCTAGCAACACACTTTTCATACTACACTTTTTTAATAAATTCGTGAAATCAATTTGAGACAATTTTTTTATGGAACGGAGGGAGTGCATTTTAGCATATTTAGTCACTTCATCCATTTAAGCTAAATCTTCTCTTATCAAATAGACTCTGAATCTTATGGATTTCTCCAGCCAACCTCCCTTCTTCCCAGGGTTCTCCCCGATCTTAAAGTCATGATGTTCTAAATATTCTCCCTGTCATGGATCAATATGGTCGTTAATATGTTTTTTGACCTCTGCAGAGCCAGCCGGTTGAAGACTTTTATCGAAGCCAAGGGAAGCTCTTGGAATTTGATTTGCCCGGAGGGATACCCGAATCCTGGCCGAAATTGTTGGAAGTCCTTAACCTCGATGAACACGAGGACAACAAACTCTCAGCTGCTGCCTAGATTTTCAACCCATTGGTTGCCTTGATGCATGTTTTAACATTTTTGCCCGTTATTTATTCGACTGAGTTAATGAAAAAAAATAACAACCAAACATGAAGTCCCCCAGCCAATTAACTGCTGTGGCCTAAAATAGTTGAATTTCCAGAAATGCATTTTTCAAAAGAAGTGTGTTGTACCAAATAGCTTAAGTTAGTTTGGGAGTGCCATTTTTCCCATTTAAAAAATGCACCAGACTAAAATCTGTAATGGTGTACTAAGTTTATTATTTGTTCTACTTGGGGTTGAAATTTATATGATCATATATATTGTAGCAAGGAGAACATTTTATGTTTATATTCAAGTTTGTGAGTGGCTTGTGATGGGTGGATGGACTTTGGCCCATTCCAAATTTAGCCCACAATGAGACACTAACTTTAGGCCCTGTATTTGATTCAATGTTGACGTATTTATGCCATTGTTTTACCTTTGCAAGGAGGGCATCACAAAGGGGATTATTGATCATTGAAGTGTCATTGACAACCTCTATAGGAGTCTACCAAACAATTGAGATGAAAGATAACGAAAGAGAGACATGGAGGGATTTATCGGCTTACTCGCCATCGTGCCACGAATTAGTAAAGAGTTGTATTGCTCTTAACAAAGAACAAGAATTACGACTTGATAGTTTAACGAATCGTGTAAATGCTATCAGATTAAAGTTGTTTCAAGGTATACCAAAATACTTTAATCGGATGATGCGTTAATTAACAAGCACTTCGAAAATCGTCTCTCAACCCATACCTATGTCTCTATATTTATAGAAATGAAAAGCCATGATCAGACACACATATACGCTTGTGAAGATGCCTCCATACAGCGAAGAATTGCATGCGATTTTTGGGCTATTTTTGAACGTTCAATTTTTGAACATTTTTGGACTCCGTTGGCAAAAACGGAAAGATTTTTACAAAGCAATAATGTCCAATTATTGGCCCCAACCAAGGGCCCTTGGACCCCGCTATTGAGGATTGCCGCCCCCGGACCCTGCCGTAGAATTTCTAATATCGTTGAACGAACGTGCACTTGGCACCTCCTAACTCGTTAACAACGTCTATTAAAATTCCTATCCGATCTTAAGTTAATCCAATTACACAAAATAACCGATGACACTAAAATCACCAACATTAACTCAATTCAAAATTGACCCAAAATAAAACAAATTCAGTTGCCAATTCTACTTTAACCTCATTAGGGCATCACCAACGCCAAGGAGTAGCGGCGAGGAGGAGCAGCGCCTCGCCCTGCCACATAAAGTCGCAAGGTGGCAAGGGCGTGTCACCTTGCACAATGCACTTTCTTCTTTTTTTTGTACAAGAATCTTTTTTTTAAAGTACATATATTCAGTGGCGGATCCAGAAAAAATATGATCGGGGACAATTACACACTAAAAAGTATGGTGGGGTTCAAGAGTGACACTCCCGATTTTTTTAAAGTGTTTGATAATGTGAAAAATAAATAAATTTAATTTCAAACAAGTATTCAAATTAAAAAAATATTTTTAAAGTAGAAAAATAAAATATAAAATATATCATAACATAATATAATTATGATATTTCAAATACTTTACCTGTATATGTTTTTAAATGATTATTTTTTACTTTTAAACTAAGATTTTCTTGTCAGTGGGGGCAAACTAATTTTTTACCGGAGTCATTCTTTTCATTCTCAACAAAAAATTATTTTAATACTGTATATTACAAAGTAAAAATAAATTGACTGGGGGTGACTGTCCCGTATTCATACATGTAGATCCGCCCCTGCATATATTTATATAAAAAGATATATAAGTAAAATAATTTTTAATTACTAAAATACGTAAAAAGAAAATGTAGAAAGTATCAAAAAATGATTTTCCACTACATGACATGCCACTCTACTCATTTGTCACACGATGGTTGGACTATTTTATATTAGTTGAAATGTTCCATATCATCGTGTGACATTTCATTTTTGCCTCAACATTGCACATGGTGTTAGTATAGTCGATAGCTCACAAAAAATAGTCAATATCATACTAGTGTTTAGGTATAAAGAGTATGAGACAATAATAGTGTTACTAGATTCTTTGTGTGTGCTTAATCAAATTTCAGTTTGTGTAAACTTTGACATGGTATGAGAACGTATTGATTGCAACAACACAAAACAAACTTAAGGCAAAAGATATGATTAGGAATAATAGACGATTGGGCCACCCATAATCCATTATCCCCCAATACTATACACAAAACACATCAGGCCTCACTGTTGGGCTTACCGACCCAATATCCATCAGCTAGTTTTTTCTTACGAGATGCTATCCTACCTTAAAATATTATAATAATAATAATAATAATAATAATAATAATAATAATAATAATAGTAGTAGTAGTGTAGGGACAAAATGTGCCATGTGATAATACAATTTTGTGAGCCTCTGTTATATTGATGTTTGATTCTACTCTTTAAATATTTTCAGATATGTATTTTGTGCTTCACCTAAATGCATCTACATCGTACATCCGTGGTCAAGGCCTGTTCCTAAGATTTTTAAGGCTCAGGCATAGAAAAAATAGATCTTACAAAGAATTACTAGCTAGTGATACTTAACATTGCATGGTTCTAGGGTTTACATTTAAAATGTTGTCCTTCTTACTTTTTTTATGGGCTTGCATGTGAATTTTTTTGCAAATGTCCAATTATTTTATGCTACAAATACACTAAGATCCATAAAATGAGCATGGAACTTAAGTCCACGGAAGAATTTGCCAATGTTAAAATATGTTTTTGATTAAAACCGAAATGCAATAAATATAACAATAAATGTTTTGTATATAAAGAAATATTATAAATAAAATTATAAAAGTACCTTAAGTGTTTGGATGAGGAGAGAAAATGATTGGAAAGAATATGAGAGGAAAGAAAATGAAGAAGGAATAGAGAAAGTATGTTGTTTGGCTGATAAGAAAATGAAGAGAAAATGGTAAAAGATGAAAAACGATGTTTTTTTTCCTTTATTTGGTTGGAGAGAAAAGTAGAAGAAAAGAAATCTTGATAATGGAAAATGACTATTTTATCCTTATGTGATAATGTAGTAATGTACAGTTATAAGGGTAATTAAGTAATTATACTACTTTTCTATTCTATTGTACCATTTTCTCACCTGCATAGGGAAGAAAACTTTCTCCCTTCCATTCTTATCTCTTTTCACTTCTTACCCTATTTTCTCTTCAATCCAAAGATGAGAAAAAACATTGGAAAGTCAAATTTCTTCTTCTCATTAAATTCTCATCATCCAAACAAATGTGTTAATATAGTACTCCCTCCGTCCTATAATGATCTTCCCACATCACTATTCCAACTTCACGAAAATTTATATTTATTTGTGTTTTTTCATGGCCTATATGATAAAATAAAATATTCTTGTCACCACTTGTTTTGTTGAACTTTTGATGTAGTTTTTAAATATGTTTGTTTTTTATTTCTATACCAATATTTAAATAAAATAGATTGAAAAAACTTGGGATTTTAAGATCATTATAGGACGGAGGGAGTATTAGTAGTAATCTTGTACAATAATTTTTCTAACGAGTGTATAAAATCCACTAATTACTTATACACCAATTACTTACACAGTTTGTTTGGAACACCTAACGTGTCTAGTTTTTAAAAATGACAGTTTCTACCCCCAACTCTCCCCCCTAAACCCCCCCAATTCAGCCCACCCCTGCCCCCTCCCGCCCCAACTCTACCCTGACAAACTTCCATGGTTGGGATTGGGGCGGGAGGGGAGGCAGGGGTGGGGGTAGGAGTGGGGGACTGGGGTGGGGCGTGGCTGGGGGGTTTAGGAGGAGGGTGAAAGGGGATATGAACCACCATATTTACGAATGCGGCATCCTAGGTATTCCCAAACGATATGTTGTAAGCAAATGACACCAGTAGTACTCGTGTCATTTTAGACTTACTCAATTTTCTATCTTCTAATATGAAGAATTATGAATAACAAATACTCCCTCCGCCTGTATTTGTCCACTTTCATTTTTGCACACCATCCAATGCACTTCTTTAATCCATTTTATCTTGTAATTTGTATATTAAAAAATTATAAAAATTATATATTAATAATCTATATGTTAAGACAAATCAAACAAGATCACATATGACTATATTTAGGCTTACACATTGAGAGAATTTGATGAGTGAAAGTGTTTACATGAACAGTTCCAAAAGTCAAATGTGGACAAATAAAAGGGGACGGAGGGAGTATTTTTTTGGACTTAAAAATTTATTTCTAGGTTATTACTATAAAATATTTGGGGCCTCGTAAACTTATGAGGTTCGGTTCTGTCCCCCGCTCTGACCTGCCTGAGGTCCGACCCTATCGTTGGTATTTATAACATCAAATCCTGTAATGGTAATTGGAATTTGTCTTGAGCATATAAGAATTTTTTTAAATGTTTAAATTGTGTCATCAGTTGAATTGTTTTATTATTTGATTCTTGATAAATAATACGGAGTAACAACAATAAAGTAATAAAAATGCACATAAATAATTTTTAATTTATACTCCATAGTTGGAAAAAAATTGGTATAAAATGGAGAAATACAAAAAGAAATCACTCACGGGAGTGCTCTTTTAGACTACTTGTTGAGTTGTGGTACTAGTATAGGGTGATTAGATAAGCATTAGTTCTGCCGTTATAATCCCACACCGCTTACGCAATTGATCAATTAGAAAACCGAGAAGCTACATAAAGCACGGCCAGCCCTATTCAGAAACCATCTTTGCGTTTGGGGCAATGACGCAGCTAGTGAGGTATTAACCGAGGCGTGTCTATTGCTGGTTGAAAACTATTTCCAAACCCCCTCTTCGGCTTAGGTTCCGCTTAAGTCTTAGAGAATTTTTGGAAGGGTTATTTTAATTAAGAACCCTACAATTTAGAGCCTTAAATTTATTTACTCTCTCTGCGCCTTATAACATTTCGATTTTTACTTCTTACACGTCCCATAAAAAATTTCTATTTTGCCTAAATGGACAGAATTGTGCTTATTGTTCTTAAATCTAACCGAACTCACCTCAATTATCTTCTATGCTCTATCTATTTTGACATTTCCCGAGTCCAATTTGTTTTAATTTTCGTAACCTTGGTCAAACTTTAATATTTTCTCCTCCCAAAAGTCAAAACTAGAAATGTTTTTCGGGACGGAGGGAGTATTATTTAAATAATTTTTTTAATCCCCAAATCAAAGTTTACTCTCTAATAACGAATAACTGTGCCCAAGAGGTCTCTTCGAGCATCTCCAACCATGCTTAATATATTGGCTTGCTAATTTTATATTTTAACAAGTGAATAGTGATATAGCAAGCAACTTTTTGTTTCAAAAAGGTTGGTATTCAACGATTAGGTAAAATGTTGAAGATCGAACGATATAAAACCTTTTGAACAATATAAATCGTTCAGTTGGAATAAGAAATCGTTCGAACGATATTATATTGTGTTGGTAACCTCTACTTTTTTTACTAACCGAACGATATAGTATCGTTTTAGCAAGCCAAAATTGGATGATTGGAGATGCTCTTCGTCCCGTCCTCTGACTATAAATGCCAAGATATGTTCATTCTCAAAATTTTAACTTAAAAAACCATTTCTTTTTAAAGTTCCTGTCATTTTAGATTTTATAGCCGTTTTAAATATTGGTTTTTATAACATCCTCCCTCATATTTTTAGGTTCACAGTATCTCCCAAATTTACCTTTTTTTAACTTATGTGAAAAGGAAAATAGATTTTTCCTCTACTTTTGAATATCGACTTAGAGGGTGTTTGGGAGTGATTAATTTGTGGATAAAGTGATTTCCACAAAAGCTGAAAGCAAAAGCACCTCATACCTGCTTCTCTGAAACAGTGTTCTATGTACAAATTAGTGGTGGTGAAAAGCAGAAGCTGACATGCCTAACAGAGTAAAATCACTTTCACTCAAAGCAGAAGCTAAATTATTAAAAGCAGCGCACTGTCAAACACCCTTTAATATGTGTGCATACATCTAGAATTAGGGGATGACAAGTTTCCAATTCAAATAAGAACCAGAGATTTTGGGATCGGGCCTAAATCGTTTGGCAATTGGAATTGATCGGAACCGCTTGGAAAGGGTCCTGGGTTAAGAATCTCAGTTTTTGAGGCTGGAACCAATTTATTTTTTGATTACTTTTTGTGTTTTTAAAACTTATTCTCAAAATGTTTATTTTGAATCACGGTAACTACAAACAAAAAAATACAATATAGAGAGATGTATATAATACTCCCCCCGTCCCAAAAAGTCCGACACGTTTCGAAAAAATTTCATCTCGTAAAGTTCGTTACATTTCTATTAAAAAAATTACTTTTATCCCTTACTTTTTCATACCCTACCTATCACATCATACCTTTTTCCTAATAATCTACCCATCACATCATACTTTTACCCATCACATCAAGGGTATTTTTGGAAAGTCAACACCAAAATATCTCTCCCTTAATTTTCCAAAAAGTCAATATGTACTAATCTTTTTGGGACGGAGGGAGTATTTTCAAGAAAAAGGATCCCTATCCAACCCGGCCATAAACTAAAATCGCGGGAAAATACAATGATCTTTCCATTCCTATATGATCTTTCTTAAAATTTATGCTAAAATCCATCGTTCGTCCTTCAACTTTGTAAGATATGCACAATTTATCCTTCAAGTTTTAAAAATTCATAAATAGTCTTCAAATATTCAACAATCTCCAAATATAGTCCTTTAAGTTTCAAGACTGCATAAGTAGTTCTTCAAGTATTCATCAACCCTCTAAATACAATTGAATTGTTTTATTGTTTTATTCTTGGCAAATAATACGAAGTAACAGCAATAAAGTAATAATAATGCACATAAATAATTTTTTAATTTATACTCCATAGTTGGAACAAATTGGAATAAAATGGAGAAAAAATTCACCTAGGGGAGGGCTCTTTTAGACTACTTGTTGAGTTGTGGTACTAGTATAGGGAATATTATCGTCCACTAATGATAAGATAACTGCATTAGTTCTACCATTATAATCCCACACCGCTTACGCAATAGATCAACTGGAAAAGAAAGAAGCTACATAAAGCACGGCAAACCCTATTCAAAACCCATCTTTGCGCTTGGGGCAATGACGCAGCTAGTGAGGTATTAACCGAGGCGCGTCTATTGCTGGTTGAAAACTATTTCCAAACCCCCTCTTTGGCTTAGGTTCACCTTAAGCCATAGAGAATTTTTGGAAGGGTTCTTTTAATTAGGAACCCTACAATTCACAGACCTAAATTTATTTATTTTTTCAAAAGTTTTTTAATTCTTGGCCAAGAAAAACAATTACAATTAGGACCGTAGTTTTGGTGCTGAGGCGCACCTGATTTCTGGTGTTTTTGGACAGGCGGCCGTCCAATATGCCCGTCCGCCGCGCCCCTCCAGGTTTTGTTTTTATTTTTTATTTTTTTTAGTTTTCAACTTAATTAATTCAAAACATCTAAACTTCAATTGTTTTTTAAGTCTTTATTTTCTAAGAACTTTTATTTTTTAGTTTTTGTAATTTTAATTTTTAGCATGTTAAATTTCTGATTTTATTAATGTAGTACTCCGTATTTCGTAAGCTAATGTTCTATTCACTTATTTTTAATTTTTTAATTGTTTCTATCCTTTTAAAAAAAACATATTCGTTTGTTGAAAACAAATATTTGTATTAAATTTATATAAATTTTTAATTTAAAAGGATGAATGATGTAAAAGAAACGGATAAGTGGATATTTGAGGGCAATAACATGTACGATTTTGGAGCGGAGCTGAAAATTAGGAGAGTGCTGATGCAACAGGAGTTGGGCGACATGAGAATTGCCCCAATTGTAAATGCTCTAAGACCCAGCGTACCAGGGCGTGGAACCCCTTTTAGGCGCCTCGTAATGCCTTTTAAGTACATTTCCAGTAGACGTTAATCTAGTCAAAATAGGGAGAGATGTGTTCTAATTCCTAGAAGGTGCAGCAGGTTTTTACCATGTTACCCATTTAAATTTGAGTAATTTTTAAACAAATTATCCTAAATAGGAGTAAAACATAGAGAAAATACCAAAATGGGAATTACATATTTTTATTTTTTAAATAGGAGCTGTGGTAATGTAGAATTGTACATGTACATTTTACTACACTTTTTTGATAATTTACATGGTAATGATTGGTAATGTTAACGTATTTTAACTCATATTTCGGAAATAAAAATATAAAACTTCTATTTTGATATATTTAGAATGTTTTACTACAACTTTAGTCTTTTTCTGTTTTATTTGGAAACCAATATACTAGCAGTTTTTCCTTGCCCATATATAAAACATTAATGATACTTTTTCTACTCCTATATGAAAATGACTCGCTTTTTTATCTAAAAATATTTGAGTAAAAAATAGTCAAATTAAAGAAATATCACCATTCCAGAATATTTGTCTAGTTTTGACTTTTTTTCCGTTAAAATTAATAAATTTTAACTATAATTGAATAAAATTTATATTAGATATTGATACAAGAATGTTTTATTACATTTATCTTATAAAATTTTCTCAAAATATTGTTTTACGTAGTAATATCCATCTATTTTTTATTTAATTATATGTCAGAAATCGATCATGATTTTCTGGAAAAAAAAATTAAGAATGAACAAATACTCACTCATAAACAAAAATAGTACTCCCTCCGTCCCAAAATATTCACAATATTTGCTTTTTCAGCAGTCGCAGGAACTTTTGTTTATTTCTACGTTTTCATTGGTTATTTGATAAAATAAAATATTCTTGACACCTCTTATTTCGAAGAACTTTTCATATAGTATTTTGATATGTAAATTTTATTTTTTATTTCCATACCAATATGTAAATAAAATGAATTGAAAAAACTTGATATTTTGAATCGGGAATACAAGTGTGACAAATATTTAGGAACTGAATGAGTAATTAAGTAATGAGTGAAGGGCATGAAAAGACCATGAACCATTACACCATTTTAGCCTTGAAAAGGATTATAGTGACATATCATCCACGGTAGAAAATTCCCCGAGAGGCATAAACCATTACACATGCTCTAATATGACGCTAAGAGCAACTCCAATGGGAGGGGTATATGAAAAGGTAAATAGAAATAATTGTGATATATACCTCTTTTCATTAAAAATTATTCTCCAATGGAGAAGGTAAATAAGGAGGCATTATACCTTCTTCAATTTTGAAGAGGTATCTTTACCTTCTTCATTTGGGGAGGTATATCAACTTTTCCCACCTTTTAAATTTATTTCATCAATTACTTTAGTTATTCTATTTTTGCTTGAATGTATTATTATAAATTTTTAATTTGTATCTTTGTAATTGTAAAACTTAATGAGTCAAGAATTAACAAAAAAAGATACTTTGGTTTTTAATTTTGCACTTTGTATTTTTAAGTTTTTTTTATTCGAATATTTATAATTTTATATGTGCAATTGGACATAATGTATATTTAATTATTTCAAAAATGACATTCTAATTTTTTTCCAATAAATTAGTTGTATTTTTATAAAATTTCTAAATTAAAAAATTTAATCAAGAAGAAATAAAGGCAACAAACCTCAAATTTATCTCCCCATGATTTTTTTAAGAATGTATATTTTCTTTTCTAATAATTGGAATTTGATTTAAGAAGCTAAATCAACCAATTTTTTTACCAATAATGTATGGAGATGGATTTTTTCACTCTTTTGTCTTTTGATTTACCTTCCCCCATTGGAGTTACACCCTTTTTAAAAAGGTAAAATTGATCACTTGGAAAGGTAAATGAAATATATACCTCTCTAAGATACCTCCCACCATTGGAGTTGCTCTAAGAGGGTGTTTGCATTTGGCAAATTCATCTTTGTGTGTCACTTCAGAGTGCAAAATTGGTTTAAATTAAAAGTATTTTTTCACAAAGTTTTTTTGAACGAAAGCACATTATATTAATACCAACCAAACATTACAAATCAGGTCCCCTCTAAATTTCAACTCCAAACTACCTAATCAAGCAATATCCAAAAGACAAATTATAAGGCAACAGAATTGATGTTAACTTTGTGCCCTATTGCCATGGTAACTGCAGCTTTAATTCCTTGTACAATGTGCTCCTTGGCAGCTTCCCTATTATTGTGAAGTTTGCCATTCCTAGCTTTCCAGATGAAGTAGCAACTCGCAGCAATACAAGTAGCTATAGTTCTTCGACTCTTTCTGTTCTTTCCTTTCCCCACTCTACTTCCCAGTTCTCTAATCGACCCAGCTGCGATATCAACATGTATCCATTGAGAAATGTTTTCCAAGATCAGTCGAGCCAAAGCACAGGAGCAGAAGAGATGATCGACTGATTCCACTCCATTGTTGCAAAGACCACAAGTAGTATCCAGATTGATGAATCTGCTTAAACGATCCTTGGTGAGTAATCTACCTCTCCATATAAGCCAAGTTATGAAGCAGTGTTTAGGTATAGACCATTTGTTCCAAACCATATCAAACCACTCCACTTTTGGGTTGCTGCCTACAAGCCAATTATATCCCTCCTTGACAGTGTAGCAGCTGGTCATATTCATTCCCATAAACAGGCACCTTGTTTGAACCAACTTCTTCCAGTAATAACAGTCATCGGGTTTAGTAGTGTAGTCCCACACAGATGATCCCTTAAGATACTTATTGTGGATCCATTTAACCCATATGGTATCTTTTTTATTGGCAATATCCCATAAAAGCTTCATGAGACATGCCTGGTTCCATTTCAGCAAATTTTTCAAACCTAGCCCACCTTCTTGTTTAGGCAAACAGACTTCATCCCAACTAACGAGGGGACATTTTTTATAATCAGGGGTAGAACTCCAAAGGAAGTTCCTACATAAAGCCATTATCTTCTTCATAACATTATCAGGGAGAAGGAAAATTCTGCACCAGAAAAAAATAACCCCATATAGAACTGTGTTTATCAACCTAGCTCTTCCTGCATAGGATAGGTGCTTAGTGGACCAGGATGTAATCTGCGTAGTGAGTTTCTCAACAAGTTTGTCACATTCCCTTTCACTAATACGAGCTGCAGAGATAGGCCCTCCCAGATATCTAAAGGGAAAGGTCCCTCTAGACATATTTGTTCTCTCAATTATACTTTGACTCTCATCCTCAGAAACTCCCCCCTAAGTACACTTGAGACTTGTCATAATTAAGCATCAGGCCAGTTGTTTCCTTAAATTCTTTAAGGCTATCCAGAATACACTCAATAGACTGAGGTTCAGCCTTGCAAGCCACAATCAAATCATCAGCAAAAACAATATTGACAAGTTTAAGAGATTTACACCTGGGGTGAAATTTGAAATTATCATTCCTGCAATTGTAGGAGAAAATTCTGGTGAGGTATTCCATGATAAGGGTAAACAGGAGGGGGGAGATTGGGTCTCCGTGCCTGATACCTTTTCCACCCTTGAAGTATCCAAACACCTCTCCATCCATTTGCACTGAGTAGGCTGCTGTAGTGACACAGTAGTGGGTCCAATCAATGAACTTCTTTGGAAAATTCAAGCCCTCCATAATTTGGAAGAGGCTTTTCCAGCTAACTGAGTCATAGGCCTTTCTAATATCTAATTTCATCAAGCATCTGGGGCTAATACCTTTCCTGTTGTAGCCTCTGGCCAGCTCATGACACAACAGGACATTATGAACTAATTCCCTTCCTTCTATAAAAGCCCCCTGATTAGGGTTGATAATGTGAGGAGGTACCACCTTTAATCTGCTGCATAAAATTTTGGATATAACCTTGTAAATCACATTACAACAAGCAATAGGTCTGAAATCACTAGGGCAAGTAGGATTGTCAACCTTAGGGATTAGCCATATATTGGTATGGTTAATTTGCTGGAGGGTTACACCATCCTTAAAAAATTCCAATACAGCTTTAGTAACAAGATCTCCAACCAGGTGCCATTGGTGCTTAAAGAAGCCACTATTAAAGCCATCAGGCCCAGGACTTTTACATGGAGGGATGTCAAATAAATGCTTCTTTACATCTTCAGCTGAAATAGGTGCTATGAGTTGGATTTGTTGTTCCACTGACAGAACTCTCCCCTCCCCAATAATGTTATTTTGAATATCCTTTGTCCACTCAGTAACCCCAATCATTTTCTGGAAGTAGTCCACCACTACTTGTGCAATTTCAGATTTCTTTTCAACCACTTGTCCTGATGAGTTGTGGATAAAGCTAATATGATTTTTGAGTCTCCTTTTTTTAACCCAAGCATGAAATAATCTGGAATCTGTGTCCCCCTCTTGGACCCATTCTTGTTTAACTTGCTGGAGCTTCATTAGTCTGGCAGCCTTCAACCTCCAGTTCAATTCTTTAATAGTTTCTAGTTCTTTAGTAATCAGCTCACTCCCTGCATTCCCCTTGATAGCCTCTTGGATCTGGAAAAGTTGTTCCCTTAGTAGATTGCATTGCTGATAAATGTGTGAGAATTTATCCTTGTTCAATCTCCTCAAATCTGGTTTCAGGTCCTTTAGTTTGCAGACTAACTGATGCATATATCTCCCCTCCCTCCTTTGTTGCCAAACAGTCTTAATTAGTGTAGGAAAGATAGGATCTAAGAGCCACATATTGCAGAATTTAAAGGGGAAGTTACCCTTTCCAGAGTGAATTTCCCTCATGAGGAGTGGGGAGTGGTCTGACAGCCCTTCTTCCTTTATCAAGATTTTTGTGTTAAAACAGTTGAACCAGTCAATGTTAGCAAGTGCCCTGTCAATCTTTGAGTAGATTCTCCTACCAGGTCCTTGTCTATTAGACCAGGTATATTTGGAACCTTCACTGGGAATTTCTTCAAAGCCACAATTTTGAACACAATTTTTGAAGTCTGAAGTTTCCTCACTAGTTACTGGATTCCCACCAATCCTATCATCCAGCTCCAACACACTGTTAAAGTCACCTATGATACACCATGGTTTATCGCAGGTTGAAGCAATAGTACCTAGATCATTCCATAGATCTACCCTTCTAGCTGCCTCATTATGCCCATACACAAAGGTAATGAAAAACTCCTTATGTTCATCCAGCCTTCTACCCAAACAATGGATCCATTGATCAGACCATTTCTTGATGATAATATTTATTTTGTTAGGTTTCCAAAGTACCCAAATTCTACCCAATGGATGGGCAGAATTATTAATAAAAGACATCCATCCTTGACAAATCTTCTTTTCTATGCTCTCAAATTTACCCTCCCTAATTTTGGTTTCCAAGAGTCCACACAGATCAATATTATTATTTTTCAAGAAATACATAACTTCATCTTGCTTATTAGGACTATTAAGTCATCTTATATTCCAGCACCCAATCATTTTTTCACAAAGTTGAAATTAAATATTATGAACTCTAATTTTTGAGGAATCCACCTTTGTACCAACAACCATGCTACAATTATACTAAGAAAATATATTTCAAAGTTACACCAAATTTATACACTAATTTTTGATGGTTCATACTGACACAAAATGCTAGTGTGATAAAAAAATTTGCACCGACATTTTGTGCATGTGTGAATTATTGCTTTAACATCACACTTACACAAAATGAAAGTACACACTTGTTAGACATGTGTACAATTTGGGGTAGCTTAGCCAATGGTCTCTTCACCTCATCAGATTGGAATAAGTTCTGATGTGATCTGAACGTAGTTACTCCAATAAATTTATAGTTATTTTTGTTCAGGGTCCGTGTAACAAACACCATCTAAAATGAATATGAATGCAGCCCAACGCACATCATATTTTTTGATGATGAGAAACATTAGTCTGTCCGGTTCAGCTTAGCGTGAATCATTGATGATGCATTTCTTTTTCGCTTGAATTGAATTTCCTCCTCGCTTGAATTAAATTGTTGATTTTCCCCAAGGTACCTCACTTCTGATGGATTGATCTTAATCAGCGTCGTAAATTTCAATTTTCTGGATTTTACAATGATTCCGAGAGTGAACAGGGAGTGTTTCAATGATCGGCAATGGCGGAAGGGAAGGACAGGGCGCCGACGGTGAACTGGGAGGGCTCAGAGACGGAGATCCGCGACAGGGGGGAAATCGCAACGACTGGGGACGGCGGCGAGTCGGAGGCTGGTAGTACGGGGAAGAGCGCGGCGCTGCAAGAGCGGCAGAGTCGGGTTGCGACGGCGATTTGTTGGGAGAGGTTTCTTCGTGTCACGTCGATTAGGGTTTTGCTGGTGGAGGATGACGATTCCACGAGGCATATCGTCAGTGCGCTGCTTGTGAATTGCAATTACCAAGGTTAGTTACTTAGATTGCTCCATTTCAGCAGGCTGTAGCCTCAAACCCCTAAATGTTCATATTTGGATCAAGTTTGAATCACATAATTTAGAAATAGAAATACACAGAGCCAAAGTATGAAGTGATTTTTTTTTTTTTTTTAAAAACAAACTTTGGACTAGTTTTTGTATATCTACAATATTGAAGCTGGACGTGGGTCGAACATGGAAGTTGTTGAAGAGATTGGGATGAACCCAACCATGTTTGACTCGGAATCTATTGCCAGCCTCCATTCGGAATCTATTGCCAGCCTCCATTCGGATATAATGTCAAGAGGAGTTTATTTGTGCGTTTTTATTGATTATGTGATCAAATAAAATATTCTTGCCACCTCCTATTTTCTAGAACTTTTGATGTAGTTTTGTTTAAATACAAAGTTTTTTTCTATGTCAATCTTTAAATAAAATGAATTGAAAAACTTGAAATTTTACTTCGTTTTGCGAAAGTGCCAACGGGCGGAGGGAGTACATAAAATGTTGTAATTGGATTGAACTTGACACTTATGGACCGTGGAATGCAGTGATCGGAGCTGCAAATGGAAACGAAGCATGGAAGATCTTAGAAGAAGAAGATGCGGCGAAGCAGCAGCACATAGATCTGGTGTTGTGTGAGGTTGAACTCCCGCAATTGTCGGGCTTAGATCTTCTCTGCAAAATAATGAGCCACAACACATGCCGTCACATTCCTGTCATTAGTAAGTAGTTGACCCATTTGTATTCCACACGAAAATTATATCGTTCATTTCCTCATTCTGTGCATAATTTTTAAACTATTTGGTTGAAGTTCTGAATCTCTGTATTAATGTAATTGCAGTGATGTCTTCTGGGGATTCGATAGGATTGGTTTGGAAGTGCTTGTCAAAAGGTGCAGCTGGATTCCTGGTGAAACCTATGAGGAAGAATGAGCTTAAGAACTTGTGGCAGCATGTGTGGAGAAGATGCCACAGTAGTGCCGTAAGTCCTTCATTTCTCTACACACTACTGCTTAAGCCCCGCCGGTCTCATATGTCATGCATCTGATTTTCCTAAGGTAGTGTTTGGATATGGGAATTCATTTTAATTTTTGAATTTCAATTCTATAATTTGAAATCCTATAATTCAAATTCAATCAAATAGTTTTCCTAAGGTAGTGTTTGGGTATGAATTTGTAATTGAGTTGGTTGATAATTAAAAGAATTTGAATCAAATTCAAATTCTTTGGATTGCCGAACAAGATATTTGGATCAAACCTGGATTTCAAATCCAAATTCATGTTCCCAAACAGGCCATAAAAAAATTTCGTGCCTTTGATTTTCCTTAACACTGAAGTGATTATCGAATGGGCACTATATTTGTTGGAATAGCTTAGTGAGTTAGTTAAATAGTTGTTATATGCTTGTCCGGTAGTTAGTTTTCTGTTTTTCTTCCTCCTTCATACACTCAGTAGCCTTATATCCTTCATTATGTAATTTTCCTCATTAATGAAAGAAGCTTGCGACTTGTTCCATCAATCTTCTTCTTATTCTTCACAATTCTATGTGAAATCAACACGGTAACAGAACTTGAAGTTCCTTGATTGTGAACCCTAGCTTCTTTCATCTTTCCTCTTCTCATATAATCTCTGATTCATCCCTTTACAACGCATCAAGTTCTTCAAATTTGAGTTCAAGCACACCAAATCCGAGTTGAATACCTTATGATCATTTCCATCCTTCCGATCCTTTCCATCTGCATCCCTGTGATCATCTAGGATTGCTCTGAATCTATAAGGAATTTGAAGGTGAAGGATTTGGTTCTTGGAAAAAATAGCTCTCTCTACCAACAAAAAATTGGATTTCATCCAAGGTAAACTCAAGAAACCAGAAGATTCTTCTTCACGAGCTAGCATTTGTAAGAGATGTAATGATATGATTACATCTTGGATTCTCAATACTCTATGTAAGAAAATAGGGGATAGCATACTCTATGCTCAAACTGTGGCTGAACTCGGGGAAGAATTAGATGCCAGATTTGGTCAATCCAATGGGGCAAGGCTGTACCAACTACAAAAAGATATTTGCTCCATTGCTCAAGGGAATTCAGACATTGTGGGATATTGCACACAACAAATGAAAAGGTGGGATGAATTGGCATTGGCATCCAATCTGCCAAGATGTTCATGTGGAGCAGCACAAGAAATCGTGAAATACGAACAAGAACAAAGGTTTATTCGGTTTTTAATGGGACTCAACTCAGATCACAACACCATCAGAGGAAATGTCTTCATCATGAAGCCCTTACACTCAATTCGTGTTGCTGCTTATGGCATGCAGATGCAAGAAGAAAAACAAAAAACTAACCACCGGGTAAGCCTATAACAACTACTCCGTATTTAACTAACTGACTAAGCTATTCCAATAGTATCCAAATTCGACATTTATCAGTACAAATGAATACAATTTACGAATCGAATCAAAACTATTTAATTCATTTATCGCCTTACCTTTATCTCCCAGAATGCATATATCATTTTCTTCTCTTCCTTTTTTAAAACATTTTTCTATATCTAAAAGTTATTCCATTGGCTCCTTACATTTCTATGTTTGATCTTCAGGCTATTGGGAGCGGTAGTGGGAGAATGTCAAAAGTAAAAAACACTGAAGACCCAAAGAAGATGACAGAGAATTCTATTGGTCACGATCGCACAGGCTGCAGGTGAGGACGCTGATGGCGGCATGCAGCAGCAGGTTCGATGATATATGATGATGTGCAATCAACAAAATTTTGGGGTTTTTCCTCCTCGCAATATAACGTACTTCAAACCGTAATAAAAACAATATTACATGTACATTTAGAGGGCGTTTCTGTGTGCCGGTGCTTATTGGCTTATTGCTGGCAAGCAATTTTAACTTAGAGGTTGTTTATAAGTTAAACATTCTTTCGTGGAAATAAAATGATTTAAATGATAGATTGGTCATTTAGGGATATTTATAAAAGGTGAGAGGTTTTTTTTTGTAAATAATCCGGTAAAAAAGTGTTATGACGGATGTAAGAAAGATAACAAACAATAAAGAAATGAAAGAACAAGCACACACAGATTTAACGTGGTTCACCAATAATATGTTAGCTACGACCACGTAATAGAAGATAGGAGATCTTTTCCTGATTGAGGAGAGAGATTAGAGAAGGATTTTCTTGGTAACTAGAATTATTAACAATGCCTTACAAATGAACCTATATATAAGGAAAGATGGCAGCCAGCTTAGCTGCCTAAATCAAGTGGGAAGTGAGTTGTTGACAACGCAGAACACTGATGTCATACAACTGCCCACCTCACGAACTAGCCACCAACTTGTTCATTTGTCAAGGCCACCTTCTAGGTAGTTTCCAGCCACTTTTTAGCTAGTTTTTAGCCACTTCCCAGCTAGGTGCAACCATTGTTGACTAGTCAAATGGGTTAGAATTCAAGGCATTCCAACAAATGTCCACCTTGACTTGCATTCTTTAAAAGACAGCAAAAGCACCATAATCAGATGTGCAAACTTAGCAGATTTCCTCTCAAAAGTGACCAAATGTGCCATAGGTATCATAAGTCCAACCTAGGACACAGATGTCACCAAAAAACAGATACAGAATATATTGTTTCACTTGAGTTCAAAAGTGTCGTGACACACTAAAACTGGTTTCCCTCACGCCTGGGACGGATAACTCAAGCTGAAACACCAAGAAATGCAAACTCCACCTAGAGTCCAAATGGATCTTCATAGAACGTGGACAGAAACATATGACACTAACCTAGTGTCCTAGATGGCTCCACTTGAAGCCCAGACTGCCAACCCAGATCGTCCCCTCCTTGGGCGTAGATCACCTCACTGAGGTGCAGAAGGAGATTTGGATGATTGTTCCAGGTAATCGATAGTCTCAAACTCTTATATGGAACCTCCACCTTACCATAAGACATTCATCACCTTTATCAATCTAAGATGGTGCAAAAACAACATATTCCCGTAGAAGATATAAGGCACCTTGTTTAATACCTTCTGGAACCACCTTCGAATCTTTGGAGACACTCATAATTGCACCTTTACCTTCAAAACTAAAACCCTTACTGTCAACACGAGTCAAGGATATTAGATTTTGTGTCAAAAGTAGAACATGCCTAACTTTATTCAAGGTGCAAAATGTACCATCATGAGTCCGAATCTTGATTGAGCTTATTCCAATCGCCTTGCAGACTAAGCTGTTTGCCATAGACACATTTCCCCCTGTCTATCTGCTCATAGGTTGAAAACCACTCTCTCATTGGACATATATGGTAGGACGCCCTAGAGTCAAGGACCCACACATCTGCATGATGTGTGTCTTGTTCTACAACCAAAGCAATGTCCTCTTCGAAATTGGTGCCATCTATCGCTATCGCAGCAGATCCAGATCCAGGTTTTTGCTCCATCTATTGCTTTCTATTCTTCGGGTATTCATTCTTCCAATGCCTTTTCTCATTGCAGTAGTTACAAACATCATTTGCTTTTGGAGCCTTGGAACCCAGCTTCTTGAATTTCTTCTTGCCCGGTTGTCCATGTCCCTTGCTTCCACTGGCTATCTATCCAGCAGCCTAATTGTCTGTTCCTGCTTTAGTCGACTTATGGCGCAGCTCCCTTGTATGGAGAGACGATCTGACCTCTTCCATAGACACTGTAACACCCTAATCCGTCTAGGTCTGCAGCCTCTTTCGGACTAAAGTATTTAAGTTGGAAATCGTAAAAATTTTAAACTTTTCAAACACATTTTATTAATCACAATAGTATCTTTCATAACATATAAGTACGTAGTATTCAACAATATTGCGGAAGCGGATTTAATATTGACATATCATAAATCATTTCAAACTTGTCACATCCATCCCGACAATCTCGCCCCATCTACCGCCAGGATCACATTAATCTTTCTGTTTACCTGCGTGTAGCAAATAAAACACACTACACGCTCAGCGGTAAAGCTGAGTAAGCATATCTAATGCGTCAAACATCCATATAAACTGAATCTAAATTCATAATCAAATCATTTGATATCATGCACACAATATTCATTTCAAACATTCACAGTTTTGATATTGTTCAGTTCATATTAACACATTTTATTCAATTCAGATGTTATTTCGACAATGCTCTTAAATTATTATTTATCTAAGGCCAAATAATAACAACACTCTTAACTAATCTTAGTCTAAGGCCAGATCATAACAACGCTCTTAGCTAATCTTATTCTAAGGCCTAATCATAACAACGCTCTTAGCTAATCTTAGTCTAAGGCCAAATCATAATAACACTCTTAGGCTCTTAGCTAATCTTAGTTTAAAGCCAAATCATAATTTCATTCTCAGACGCTAAAACTATGATTAGTTTAAGGCAAACAATCCTTAGACGCTTAAACTATAATTAGTTTAAGGCAATAGTTCTCCGACGCTTAAACCAGAATTGGTTTAAGGCAATAATTCTCCGACGCTTAAACTTTAATTAGTTTAAGGCATTAATTCTCCGACGCTTAAACTTTAATTAGTTTAAGGCAAACAACAATTCTCAGACGCTTAAACTATAATTAGTTTAAGGCAACAACAATACAGTGATTAATCATCATTGAGTCAAAGTACTTCCAAACAAGTGATTCTCCAGTTTGGTTTACGAATTCCGTTATTACATTTTTATTCAATCACTGAATATTCATGTTCCACAAATCCATAGTAATATGAGATCTATTCTAGAGGTCTTCTAGATAGCCTTAACATCAATTCTTTGAATGAGTATATTTTAGAGTTCTTCTAGATACCCTTAACACTACGAATCATTTCATAATTATAAAGGTATTTATTTTACTAGTGATTAAATCATAAATATTCATTTTAATCAGTAGGTTCATTATTCATAATCATCCATAATATTCATTTATCATAATCATCAATTAACATAACAATTGATAATAATTAGCGGCCTAGTTTCGAGTGTTAACACCCAAACTTACCGTCATGCATCACATATCATTTTTATTTGTTAAAAAACATCATTTTTATTGTGAAAAAAAACATTTTTATAATGATCATAATTAATTGGTATCAAAAATAGGATTGAGTATCCTTATATAAGAGAATTGGTAAGGATTGAGTATCCTTATGAAGACAATGGTATAAATTTTCAGAAGGTTGGTGCAGAATTGGTAAGGATTGAGTATCCTTATATAGGAGAAGAGAAGGGGAAGAAGACATTGGTAGCTGACTCATTTCTACGTAGAATTTCCTTAGTGCGCAGGACGGCGATTCTAATTGATCTACACGCCGCTCTCTGATTGGGACCAATTTTGTTCCAGTCGGGGTACACTTTTTGGTCTAACTTTCTCCGAATTGAATTCCGTTTGCACCGTTGCGATCAGACAATTGAATTCTATTCAACGATATAACTTTTATATTTATTTGCAATACTTTTTTTCGACATCATATTTTTGGGTGTTTGACTTTGACATAGTCGAAAATCATTTAGTTGACTTATATTAAAAAAGGTTCTCACATTTAATTCATATCAATTATTATCATGATTTATTTCAATAAATCATTTTAAAAGTTCACATCATAAATAATTTCTTCATTTATTCTTGATTTGGGTCTGTACTCAGGTTCCCAATCAAGACCACACAATTAGTCAACATATTGGATTTTATCTTTATGAGATTTATCCAGATTGTTATAATGGATATCAAAACATAATTCGTAGCGGCCTAAAGCCCAATAACAATTTATTTTAATCAAAATAAATTTGATTAATCGAATAATTATTTATTGATAAATTCTAGGGCATGTTTTGGGGCGTTACAGACACAATATCTTTCCCAATGATGAAAGATTGTACGAAAGTCCCATACGACAATGGTAGTGAAACCAATAAAATTAAGGAAACATCTTCATCCTCTACCTTAACATCAATATTACGCAACTCTAAAAGAGCTGTATTTAATTTATCCACATGGTCTTTAAGAGGGGTACCTTCATGCATTCGCAGACCGAACCTACGTTGCTTCATAAGCAACTTGTTGGTTAAAGACTTCGTCATGTATAGACTTTCTAATTTCAACCATAGACCAACGACAGTTTCTTTATCTGCGACCTCAGTGATGAAATCATGTGCAAGGCACAACATGATAGTCAAATGTGCCTTTTCCTCTTAGGCAGCCAACTCAGCGTTGTCAGCCCTAACTTCTTTTGATAATGGCGTTCATAAGCCTTGTTGCTTCAACAAAGCTTGCATTTTGATCTGCCATAGACTAAAGTTGTTCCTCCCTTTGAATTTGTCGACCTTTACGTTCAAAACAGACATCTTTCTCACCAAATTACAAATCTCGATTACCCTTGCTCTGATACCGGTTTGTTATGACGAGTGTAAGAAAGATAACAAAGAATAAAGAAACGAAAGAACAAACACACACATATTTAATGTGGTTCACCAATAATATGTTGGCTACGTCCACCTAACAAAATATAGGAGATCTTGTACTTATTGAGGAGAGAGATTACAGAGGGAATTTTTAGGTAACTTTAATTATTAATAATGCCTTACAAATGAACCTATATATATACTATATATATATAAGGACAGATGGAAGCCAACTTGGCTGCCTAAATCAAGTGGGAAGTGAGCTGTTGACAACCTAGAACACTGCTGTCATACAGTTGCCCACCTCCCCAACTAGCCACCAACTTGTCCATTTGTCAAGGCCACCTTCCAGATAGTTTCCAGTCACTTTCCAACTAGTTTCTAGCCACTTTCCAACCAAGTGCAGCCATTGTTTAATAGTCAAATGGGTTAGAATTCAAGGATTCCAACAAAAAACTAAAAGATTGGCTTAAAAAGTAGGCAAGATATACTTATTTTTTTCTGACTTTTAAGTAGCTTATACGCCAGTTTATAAGCACAGATAATACCTCATGAGCTGACTAATGAGTTAAAAATAACAGATAAACATTTTTGACTAGCTTATAAGCACAGAGAAACACTCACTTAAAGCAATGTGTAGCAGACAATATTTTTCTTGACTTTAGTTTTTTTTATTATTTTTGTGTTTTTCAAACGTACGCGAAATATACTCTAAATAGTTTTTAATGAATTTTGGCCTTTTAAATTCTAATTCTTTTAGGCATGTACACATAACTTCAGTAAGTGTTAGCTACCCAAATTGTTTATTTAAAAAATACATTAACGTATTGCTTTAAAAGGTCAACAATGCTAGAGGTAATCAATGAAATTTACCCTAAAAGTACACCAAAGTTATGCACTAACATTTTGATTGTTCACACTGATACAATATACTAGTGCGATCAAATTATTTTACACTAGCATTTTGTATCTGTGTGAATCATTGCCTAAACAGTAGACTGACACAAAATGAAGGTACCCGGTGTATAACTTAGGGTGCAATTTTAGGGGTACAAGTATTTTAATTACAATTTACCCCGTAGTATATTGCTTTGACCAATTGTATAGTTTATACGAGGTACGGACTACACCTGACAAAAAATGTTCTGACCTGTTTTTGAACTGAAACCCGACCCGAAAATACTGGGTTTTGAAGAATGATTTTGATGATTGAACCCGAAGTTGACCGAACTCGAAATGACCCGCTAAAAATGGGTCAAACCCGACCGAACCTGAACCCGACATAACCAACCTGGTAATGTAAGAGTTTTTTAAAATTATATATTATACTATGAAATACAATGTTACTCGAGTATAAAAATAAGGTTATGATTATTTTTTTTTAAACTCGTTTTTAGTGTGTAAATTTATATTTTCAGCGAAATTTTTAATGGCATTGCATTGTTATCTTACATTTTTTCCAAAAATTATGCATTTTTTAATTTTTTATATTGATTTATATATCTAAAAATTACTTCAGAATTTAAAATAAAATGATATAATAGATTTAATATATATTTTTTGATATTTTAAATTTATTCAATGCAAAATGCAAGTGTTAATACAAAGTAATAAATTTTATAAATCAAAGTCATAACACGTTGGGTCAACCTGAACCCGATGACATTAAGTCATGAATATACAGCTCTCAACCTAGATCTGAATTGACCTGAACCCAAAGTGACCAAACCTCTAGTACGGAGTAATAGTTTACCCCGGAACAGGAAGTCTCAACATACACCATGGATAAAACGGGGGGGGGGGNTAAGACTTCATATTTCCTCCGCTCCAAAAACTCTTTTACCCTTACTAAATCTTAAATTACCTATTAATTATACCTTTTTATTAATAATCTATCCATGACATCGTACTTTTACCATCACGTTAAGTGTACTTTTGGAAAGTGATTACAAAAGTATCACTCCAATAAAATTTTTAAAAGTCAAAATAAGAACATCTTTATGGGACAGAGAAAGTAATAAATATTTTGAGAGTAGTTGGAGTTCAAAGTTTGTCCTGTTTGACTCAAAAAAGTCAAACTGGACAAATACACTGGGACGGAGGTAGTATTTTGTAAAAGGTTCACTTCTTTTATGCTATAAATACGTCAAGGTCCATAAAATGAGCACAAACTTTAGGTCTACGGAAGAATTTGCCTATTTTGATTACAAAATGGGAATTACGATGTAAAATTCCATGATTTTTGAAGTTATTTTATTTACAAATTAGTACGGAGTATTTTAATAAGAAATAAAAGTTACATGTTAAAAACTAAATCTAAAGTTTTACAAAACAAGATGTAACAAGAAAATATAAGTTATCGAGAAGAGGAGAAAATAAAATTGTAATCAAAATGGAAACGAAAGAACTATTTGACACTGTGTCAATTTGATACAACATAATTTTTTTTAATCGAATACGGAATGTATCACATGTAAATCTGTGAAAAAATGTGAGAAGATCATATTTTAAACGTACATCTTGTGATCAAATAAGCATCACTTATCAAAATAAGGACGGAGGGAATATATACCTATACCATTGATTAGACTAACTCCAATGCTAGTAGAGATTTGGAATTTCAACTCAACTTTTTAGCTATTATATCATCAATTATGCCATCTCTAACCCACGATGGAAGATGTGTTCGGAATTGTATTTGAATGTTTAAAATAAAAAATAAAAAAGGGATTTGTGAAAAAGAAGAGAGCTGTCGAAATGGCATGAGAATGGCAGGCGCCTGGGAAATTGATGAATAAAAGAACGGACTGGATCTCATTTCCTACTATTCCCATTTTCCAATTTCTTTCTCCAAATTTTATTCTCTTTCATTTATCTCCCTTTTGATTAAAAAAAAAGATGAGGTGGGGCTCCTCAGAACCGATCAGAATGTTACTGAGAGTAGGTAATTAAACTTTGATAACGGATTGCTAGTAAATAATGGAGTCTGTACCCGTCTTTTTATTACTCCTTTCGTCTTTTTTGAATCTTTCCAATTTGACTTTCAAAGTTAATTATTTTCAAACTTTGACTATAAATTATGAAAAAAATACATTAAATTATATTACTTCTGTTTCTGAATATTTTTCCAATTTTGACTTTTTTCGATTAATCATTTTCAACATTTGACCTATATTTAAATGAAATATATATTGTTTATTAATTAGACAAAATAATATTTTGAAAATTTTTGATATAATAAATATAATAAAACTATTCTGTATCAATATCTAACATCATTTTAATTAATTTGAAATCAACATTTACAAATTTTGACTGAAAAAATCAAAAGTAAACAAATATTCAGGGACGAAGGAAATAATAATACTCCGTATGTGATATCAATAGGTTTATTTTGAACCGTAGTTTTGAAATATTACATATTTATTTTGAACCGTAGTTCTAAAATATTAAAAATATTGATGGTCAAAGTGTAATATTAAGAGATGTGAAATGGGAAGATTCTAAAGAGATAAAAGGAAGAGAGCATATTTTATTAAATTTTAGAATCCTCGTATCCCCCATTGGAGATAGTTTAGAACGAAAATTTTGCACTAAATAGGACTAAAATATAAGTCATTTTCAAATGTAGGATTTATCAATGATCCTTATTGAGAAATAAAAACATACGGTCTTATATTGAGAAAATCATTATGCTTTAGTCTTATTTAGATAAAAATTCTCTAAATGATAAACATACACAATAGATTGAGATAGACCAACGAGAAAAATAGACACAACAAATCGAGATAGATGAAGTAACAATTTTGGGCCTATTTGGTAATAGCGTTAGCGTTTTGAAAAGACTATCTACGGGCAGCGTTTTCAAAGTAATCTGCACCGTTAAAATCTTATCCAAAACGCTTACGCTAATCTCTAACGCTGTTCCCAAACAGGTCCTTTAGCATTTTGCAGTGGAATTTTGTAAATGTTATCTAAGTGAAGTGTGTAGGATAATATTTTCAAATTTAATTTATACCATTAAAATTTATTCAAAACATTAAACGAAACATTGACTCCAAACATATTTGTAAGGCAATGTTTGACAACTAACACCTCTTTTTCATTCTTTTATTTCAATTTCAAAATTTAGATTCTTGAATTTTTTATGACAATGAGAAATATATAGATTTGGAGTTGAATTTGTTATGAATCAAAGGAATTTTGGGTGTTGCTATATCCACCTCATTTTGGCTTTATCACTCCATTAATGTTAGATTGACAAGTTTGACCACAAAAATACAAAAGAGGAAATTTTGTTACCCTCCGTCCAAAAATATTCTTCCCACTTTCTTGTTTGGTCCGTCCGGAAATATTCTTTCCATTTTCTTTTTTAGTATACTTTTTAAGGATAAATTTCAATAATACCTTTCTATTTTATCTCTAATCTACTTTTTTATTACTTTTTTAATAAGAAAAGGAGATTTATTCATCTCTCCGTTCTCAAATTTAGATCACATTTTCGTTTTTGTTTGTTTTTTTCCTCGAAATTCTTACAACATTTTTATGGGTTAATACTTATTTTTGTCATTGTAATAAGTGCACTTATGTTGGGCAGTATCAATTTAGGCTTTATATCAAAAAATATGAATCAAGTTAGTTCATCTAATAAAGTTTAGTTAAATTGTGTTATTGAAACGCCGACACAATTGACTCGTGAATACATAGATCAAAATGAGTGTTAACTCACTTTTTTATCCTTTTTAATCAAAATTTCATCAATATCTCTTTCAATTTTCAGTATTCTTTTATACTTTGAAAATAATCAAACTAATATTTTAATTTTAGAACTAGAGATAGTATATGAATAGGACATGCTAGGAGTACATCAATATAACCCATTCGTACACCAGACAAATAGAGACACTTAGTGTCTGTGATCCACAGATACTAAGTATCCATATTTGTCTGTGTTTGCTTGGTGTACAAATAAGATAACTCAATTTTGGTATATCCCTAGCTTTTTCTATATGAATTCAAAATAATCAACCAATTTCATTCTGATCCAACTCTACCCTAAAGGGGGAGTGGGGGTTAGTTTGAGAAAATGATGTAAGAACAGGAGGGCAATGAGTCAAACTTTATCCAAAAGCCAAAAAAAATACAGAGTTGAATTGGCCACTCCTTTGCCACTCACTCATCATTCCCCAAGGCTCCAAGCTAAAATCCAAAACATATTTTCGCAGTCCCAAATTCACCAAAAAGAAAAAAAAATCAGTTGATTAATCCTCTGGGTTTCTTATGCCATTAATTTTGAAGAGCATTTCAGGAGTCTTTTTCTCAGGTTTATTTATCCTTTCATTGTGATTTTATTTTTAAATAATCAATTAACTAATCTTGAAATTCTCTGCTGATATATATATTACTGAGCTGTTATTTTGTTGTTTTCTTGATTGGGTTCAAGTAATCATTATGTTCTTCTTCCTCTCTTTTTTTCCAGTTGGATTTTTCTCTGTAAGGCAGGTAAAGTTGGATTCTTCTACAGCTGATTTGAGTGTGAAGGCCTCATTGTGAGTCTGATTCTAGTACTAATTCTTATAAAATTGCATGCATGTTATATTTATTAAAAGTTTTTGGTAAATGTTTGCTTTTGGTTCCTTTTTAGGGTTTGCTTTTGGGCAAAATTTGAGCAAGCCTTATGTTGCTTATCTTTCTACACCCTCAGTCCCATAAAGAAATTGACAATTCGGCTTCGCAGAATTTAACGAACCAATTTAGATTAGAGAGAAATATTTTGAGCTACGTATTCGTTTCCCGAAATCGAAATGGGAAAAATGTAAAGTTTATTTTGGGAGAGATGAAAAAGGAAATAGTACATTTCATTTGATTGGGCAATAAGACACTTGGGCTGAACCACATTAAAAGATTGAATCCAATCGATTACTTAGTTCAACTCTAGAGCTTATATACCGATTATTTTAATCTTGGAGTTTCCGATGTGGGATGTACTCTAACATTTTCCCAAAATATTGTTTTCCTATTTAGATTTACCCTTTTCTGTTCAAATGCACAAAGAAGTCTAAATCTTAATTGTTCTTGTTTCAAACATTTTTGTTGTTAAATTTAATGAACAAAAACACATTTTTCTGAAATAGGACTTCTTTTTGGGCAAATAAAGTTTTGAGATATACAAAGTTTGTTTTGGGGGGACGGTAGAAATTGTCTTAAATATCTTATCGATAAGGTATGACCATTGTTGACATGAATGAATGGCAAATTCATTTGAAGGACTCAGTTGACATTTTAAACTCAATTCTTAAAAGTGAGATTTTTTTGAAAATGGACTACTAAATCCAGAAGGATGGAGTAATTATAAAGAATAACGTTTTTGTATTGGCTTTTTTACTTTGATTTGGTTTTATGGGTTTGCTTTTGTTTTTCATCTCATCATGGAGAATGTGGTACCCAATGTATTTGAAGTGATTGATGCTTGAATGTTTAGTACTGAGTAGCCATAATTTGCTCCCTCCTTCCGGATTTAGTCGTCCACAATAAAATCCGGACTGAAACGAAGATTTGTCCAAGATGGAGATGGAAGAGGTACAGAAGATTACTGTGATCAAACCAGTAGCGACAAGGCCGAGCTGTTTTGCCTATAAGCCATTCCCTGAACTTCTTTCTGGTGCAATGAATGGACCGTCCAACCGTGGGTGCTCCCGGACACCCGCCATCCGACCTAAGACAATAAGACTGAAATCTGCCGGAATCCATAACAGTATTATTGGAAAGGTGATATTGGGTTGGTTGTGGTATAATACATGGAGTTAAAAGAGTTTTCGTTTCATATCCCAACCGTTTATGATTTGTACTGTTTTATTGACTTTTGCCTTATTTCAGGCTGAGCCAATGGGCATCTCAGTTTCCTCTTCTGGTGTCAACATCTTGAAATTAGATGACATACCAACCATCATATACAAACCCACTGCGAAGCTACCTCCCGCGACAACCGTTCCTCACAACTTTAATATGGCAAGTGTGGAACAAATTTTTTATTGAATTGTTTTCCACTACTCACACTATAGGTGAAGATTTTTTCTTTCCTTTATAGAAAAGTTGCGCGCATAATCAGCAAAAAGAAGCAGGAGATGAGTCAAAAAGAGTCAAATCATATGAACACTCGAGGATGACATCATCATCACAGAACAATATAGAAGGGGATGAGTGGTCGTTGCTTCATCAGAGCAGTAGTGTGGACTACCTTTCAAACGACGGATATAATTGGAGGAAATACGGGCAGAAGCAAGTTAAGGGAAGTGAGTACCCGAGAAGTTACTATAAGTGTACACATCCAAAGTGCCCGGTGAAGAAGAAGGTTGAAAGATTATTAGTGGATGATGAGATTGCTGAAATTGTGTACAATGGGGAGCATATCCATCCTAAGCCTTGCCTTCCAAGTCCAAGGTACAACAGCCTGAGAGATGGAGTACAACCACATTCCAATGATAGCGTCTTGTGGAGTGAGCAAATTACTCCTCTACAAAATGAAGATAAACTTAGCTCCAAGTTATCTAGTAGAACTCCTCCACCACTCTTTGGTGCCTTTTCTACTCTGGGAAACTCTTGTGGCCCAAGCGGGAGGTGCGGAGAAGGAAGTCAAGGATTGTTGGAAGCAGTAGGTGATGACGATGATGATCTGAAAGGAAAAAGAAGGTACTCCCACCGTCCTATCTGTCCATTGTGACTTTTTACACGAATTAAAAATTGAATGCATGTAGACATACGTTATGTCCACATTCATTTGATTCATAATGTATGTAGAAAGTCATAAACGACAAAGTATTCAATTATTAGAAGGCAACGCACTAAAAGTCCCTTAAAAACGGATTGTTCTTTTCGAATTTGCCCATGCTGACTTAAGGCACGATCTCATTGGTTAATAAGGAAAAGTAGGAGGGAAGCGAAGGATGGAGGAATTTTGATGCAGGCTGGTATTGGGAATATGGCAGATTCTGAAGCCACGGGAGACGGATACCGGTGGCGAAAGTATGGTCAGAAGGTAGTCAAAGGGAACACATACCCCAGGTAAACTTAGGAACCTTTTATATGCCACCGTCTCTTTGAGTATTTCACACCACCTCTAACAAGTGTTTTTGACATTTGGTGGGTGGGTTGGGGGGGGGGGGGGACAGGAGTTACTACAGGTGCACGAATCCAAAGTGCAGTGTGAGGAAATACGTAGAGAGAGCGACCGATGATCCCAAATCCTTCATCACAACGTACGAGGGAAAACACAACCATGACGCTCCTACCAGAAGAACCCCCAAACCCTGAAACATCTCCCCAAGACTTAGGAAGCTTTTTGGTGCATTAATTAATTCACAAACGTGTTTTCTTTGTCACATGTACACCACGGTTTGGATCAAGGTTTGCACGTACGCTATTTTTGTTCTCGCAGACACGCTAGCTATGTTTGTGGGTACAGTGGCGTGTCTGTGTGAACAAAAATAGATGTTGATGTAGGCCTTCATTTTAACAATAGGAACATATAATTTTACTCCTATTGCTGTTAAATTGTACTTATGGAAGCCCATTTTCCTTGAAGTATACCTCTGCTAGAGACTGTCTTTAAAATTTAGGATTCATTTGGTCCTACATGTGGGGTTGGAGAGGGTCATTCAGGAAATTCACTTCCCATTCCATTGGGGTTGTATTGAGGGACGAGATGGTGAATCATCATATTCTTTTTCTTTTGTTTGGTTATGGGGTAAATTGATGGGAATGTTATGGGATATATTGATTTTTTACTGTCTCCAATCTTATACGGAGTATATGTTTTTTCCTTTTTACCCCAAGCCCAGGGCCATGTAGGGGTGGCCACGTACCGAATCCATACCGAAATTTCTTAAAAAAACGAGATTACTGAATCTTAAAATATCGAATTGATAAAATACCGAAAAAGAATTGTACCGTACTGAACTGAATGGTCGGTCCAGTATTTGGGATCGATACGAGGTAACTTCCCATACCGAAAAATCTCGAACCGAATATATATACAAATACATTATAAAAATAACAATGTTTTTATATTTCTTCTTTAAAAAATAATTTAATTTTGAAAAGTTGGTTCAAGTGTAGATAAATTACAAAGAATTTTTTATTTATATAATCATTTATTTGAATTTTATTTTTTGTAGAATTATATAAAAAAATTAACAAATTTTTGAAATATTATTTTGTTATCATTCGTTCTCTTTTGTTTGTGAAATATGATGTGTTTTTTGCATTTGTTTATTCATTTTTCAATTGTTTATCTTTTTTTATTTGAATGTACTTTTCATTTTTTTAAAAAAAATTTTTGTACATTCCAAAGTGTAAACTAGGTACGTGTGTGTGTGTCTATATATATATATATATATATATATATATATATATATATATATATATATATATATATATATATATATATATATTCATCCCAAATCATACCGAACCAATATTTTAGGATCAGGATCGGTACGATGTAAAATCTCATACTGAACCAAAGTATTTGGTACGGAATCGATTTGACTAAATACTGTACGGTATCACGCTCAGCCCTAGGGCCAGGGATGAGGCAAGGTGATAGGATTTTAAATTATGGTTTAAATAAACTACCGATGAGTGTTGTGCAATTGGAAAAGTAAGGCGTGCCAAAGAGATAAGATCCGAGTTCAATTCGTTGCAACTGTGTTGGGACTTAGGAGCCAACTGTGCTACGCATAACACCTTTGCAAATTAAAGTTTTCGATATCACAATCTGACAATTGAAGAAATATCAAAACATCATATTAATATCTCCTAAATGTGAGTGATATCGAAAACTTTAATTTATAAAGTTTGTCAGATTGTGATATTTGGAAATATCAATTCTGATTACTTTATACTCACTCCGTCCCCCTGTATTTGTTCACATTTGATTTTTGGAACTGTTCATCTAAGCACTTTGACTCATCAAATTTTCTCAATGGGTAAGCCTAAATATAATCATGTATGATCTTGTTTGATTTGTCTTAACATATAAATTATTAATATATAATTTTTATAATTTTTTAATATACAAATTATAAGATAAAATGGATTAAAAAAGTACATTGGATGGTGTGTAAAAATGAAAGTGGACAAATACAGGAGGACGGAGAGAGTATATTTTACCAAACACCAAAGAAAATTCTAATATCTGAAAATATTAAAACTCATATCTAATGCAATCACGAAACAGGCTTTAAATGAACCAAATCTTATAATATCATTTCAAGAAAAAATTAATTATTAAATCACATCTTCAAATCAACCAAATGTTTATTAAATCACATCTTAATTATTAAATCGCATCTTTAAATGAACCAAATGTTCCACATTTTATTTTTTATTTATTTTTATTAAATCACACCCCATATTTAGAAGAAAATTGTACGGTAAATTTTGAGCACAATGTTTTATTTTTAAATGACTGTATCTGTTAATATGTGAAACTTTATTTTACAACAAATTGAAATGGTAAGAAATTTACCCCTCTTTTCACGATAAACATTTCACTTTTTCTCTTCGTTTATTTAAAAAAATGCCTCTTTTTTAAAAGAAAAAGCACAGAATTTTCACAACATTTTTCTCTCATTTGCATTTATTTCAACAACACATTTTTTTTCTTTTTAATGGGAAAAAGACTCAAATAAGAGTAAAACATTAAAAATATATTGAAATAGAAGTTTCATGTTTTTATTTTGATATTTTCAAAACGAAAGTTAAAATGCATTTACATTATCAATCATGACAATGTAAATTATCAAAAAAGATAATAAAACACACATATACAATGTCGCATTAGCACAATGTGATGTCCTATTAAAAAAAATACATAGAACTCATATTTTATTACTTTCTTTATGTTTTCTCCTATTTAGGATAATTTATTTTGTTAATACTCCGTATTTTTTTATTTATTTGGGAACTTTGATTTATTATGTGATAAAACAAAATATATTCTTGTTACATCTTGTTTTGTAGAATATTTGACGTAATTTTTAAATATGTAAGTTTTATTTTTTATTTTTATACCAATCTTTAAATAAAATAAATTTAAAAAAAATTAAAACTTTGTTTTGTTTGTAAAATATTTTGGGTTGGGAGAGTATTTAAAAGAAAAGGATAAAACTATTTGTACCCCGAACTTTTGTACATCGCAGGTTTTGCACCGACATTTTGTGCTGGTGTAAAAATAGTTTTTATTAATGCAACAACACTTTGTGTTCTTGTAAATTTTTGTTAACGCACCAACACTTGTGTTGGTGTAAACCATCAAAATATGTGTATAACTGCGGTGCACAAATGTGATAGAATTTTTGGTGTAAGTGTAACATGACCCAAAAGAAAAAGCTTAAAGGAAAAAGACATGTTAGATGACATTGAGACCATGCCAATCACCCAAGTAACTTTTTTGGAAAATGCTAGGGGTACACCAAAAGTGTACCCCAAACATCCCACACCCCTTCCATCACCATAAAAAAAAGCAAAAAATTTCAAAATAAGAAATAAAAAATAAAAATAAAATAAAATGAATGGTAGAAAGAGGAGTGGTGTACATTTGGGATACACATTTGGTGTACCCTACCATATTTTAAATCTTTGGAGTTAAGACACATCACTATCTACAGTCTTACTGTAACTCCTATACTCGTTCTTGCCTTCTTGGTTTGGATTTACCCTTTTTACGCCCCTCTCTCTCTCTCCCTCTGCGGCCGCCCCCCACTTGCAGAAGGGGAGGGAGGTAGAGAGAGATGGGATGGTTTCTATGCTCCGGCCAATCTCCAAAGAAAAAGAGCCACCACAACAACAAGCTTCCTGCAATTGATCCTAATCCTAATCCCCCAGGTAACTATTTCATCTCTTGTTTTCAACTCATTCTTCAAATATTTCTTTTTTTATAAATGTCCTCTGCTGTAAATCCATTAAAGTTGTGTTCTTTCTTGTATTCCAGCTCAATCTATGTCTGGGTCATCATGGTCTTCACGAATGGAATTCTGGGTCTGTTTGTAATTCTGTTGTTTTTTTTGTCTGTGTGATTTTTATTACAGGCAAGTGGAAGAGTCGATCCAAGTTGAGGGATGAATCTGTGAAGGATGGAGGGGCTGACCAAATTGCAGCAAAGACTTTCACATTCCGCGAATTGGCGGCTGCCACTAAAAATTTTAGAGGCGATTGTCTGGTAGGAGAAGGCGGCTTTGGGCGGGTGTACAGAGGGCGACTTGATTCCAACCAGGTTTTCTTGATGTTATGAGGAAATTGTAACAGTTGTGTTTTGAATTGTTTGGAAGGTGGAAAATGAGAGAAAAGATTCTTGGGGAATTCGATTCGAATTCAAATTTAATTGAGATTTTACTTATATTTGTATTTCAATTTACCATTTTTTCCCATAACCCTATGTTTGGTTTGTGGATTTTGGGAGGGAAGGAAAATTGTTTTCCTTTTCTCTAGTTCTTTTCTTCTTTCTTTTTTTTTTCCTTTCTAATTTTGCTTTTCTTTTCCTCTCTAACCAAACCAGAAATTTTGTTTTCCCTCGCATTTTCTTTTTTTCCCCTTCAAATTCCTTGAACCCAACATAGTGGAAGTTATTCCTTACTTCAAGGCATTCCCTTTGTTTCTCACTATATTTTCTTTCCCATTTTCCCATGGAACCTTAGTATTGTTGTTTGGATAGTATAGGAGAGAAATGAATTTTAAAAAAAACATTAATGATTCACTTGCAATAGAAAAACTTGATGGTGTTATGACTTGGGAGCAATGCTAGTGGGAAAACACAGAGATGAACTCTTTGGCTACTTCACAATGTTGTTTACTCTGTATTATTCAATGTGAAATGACCTTTGAGGCTGGTAGTTTGCTAGGTTTTCTTTTTGAATGTGAAATGTTCGAACTTATCTATGCATTTTTTCTTCTTTGAATTGGATGTAGATTGTTGCCATAAAGCAACTCGATCGTAATGGACTGCAAGGGAACCGCGAATTTCTGGTTGAAGTGTTGATGCTGAGCCTGTTACATCATCCCAATCTTGTAAATCTTATTGGCTATTGTGCTGATGGTGATCAGAGACTTCTGGTTTATGAGTACATGTGTTTAGGATCTTTGGAAGATCATCTTCATGGTACTCCTTTCTCTCTTCTCCATACACGTGTCTGGTTCACATCTGTCGCTTGGAATACTCCTACTATCATTCATTATGTTTTCTTAGTTTTACAAAGATGGGCACATATGGAATTATAGAATTCAATGGTGTTTACATATAATTGAGTCACAATGGATATGAGTCGAACTATGGATTAAAAGATGGATTGAATCCAACCCATTTTATCTTGTTCGACTCGTAGCTAAAAAAGATTGAATCCAACCCATTTTTGTGTGCAGATCCTACACCTGGAAAAAGACAACTGGGTTGGAGTACAAGGATGAAAATTGCTGCAGGAGCTGCAAAAGGTTTGGAGTTTTTACATGACAAGGCAAGCCCGCCAGTAATATACCGCGATCTGAAATGCGCAAACATTTTGCTTGGTGAGGGCTATTTCCCCAAGCTGTCTGATTTTGGACTGGCCAAGCTAGGGCCAGTAGGTGACAATACACACGTGTCTACCAGAGTTATGGGTACTTATGGATATTGTGCTCCTGAATATGCCATGACCGGACAATTGACCGTTAAATCAGATGTTTACAGCTTTGGAGTTGTCCTTTTGGAGATCATCACTGGAAAGAGAGCGATTGAAGACTCGAAAGTTGGAGGAGAGCAGAATCTTGTTGCTTGGGTAAGCTAATTACTCATTCAGCGTGTCATTTCTTCAGTTAAAAGAAAAACAAGAATACTTTTATCTACTATTAATCTTCAAGTGGGATCTTTACTTTTGCTCAACAAGTAACAAGATGATCGAATGTTATGTTGCACAAATGGTTTGCTCAACTTTGTATGTATGTTGTGTTGGATAACAGGCGAAACCTCTGTTCAAAGACAGAAAGACGTTCACACGGATGGTAGACCCAAGGCTCCAAGGGGCATACCCTTTGAGGGGATTGTACCAAGCTCTTGCAGTAGCAGCAATGTGTGTTCAAGAGCAGCCCAACTTGCGCCCCGCCATAGCAGATGTCGTTACTGCCCTTAATTACCTGGCCATGCAAAAGTGCGATGACGACTCCCAAACAGTACCTCAGGACGGGCCCATGGCTTCACCTCGAACAATAAAGAAAGGCAGTGGCAAGAAAGGGGATGGAAGCTCTGATAGACCCAATGAAAGAGACCGAAGAACCGGAAGACTAAGATGAGATTTCAAGTTTGATTTGGGGCTGGTTCGCATGCGGTTGTGGTTTGGTCTGGTCAGCAATTTTGTAGGTTGATGCTTTTGGTTCTTCCACTCCATGGTGCTCTTGTGATGTCATTTTGTTGGGGTAATCTTTTTTTTTTTTTGCTTTTGTTTTTACATATGTATAGTAAAACTGCACTTGTGTGATGATGATGTTGGTATGATATTCAATTAGTATCTGTTTTTTTTGTTGTTGTACACATTGCACTCAATAGTGTGTTAGTGTGTTTTACTCCCTTTGCCTCATTTTACACTGCCTAATTTGACTGGATACACTTTTTGGATACACTTTTGAATAAAAGGTAAAGTGCAAAGTAATTTAGGATCAACAAAAATGTAAAGTGGGATGAAGGGAGTACATTATTGAAGCTATGATAAAATCAAATACTGCAACCTCAAAGGAATAAAGGATAATATAATCAAAGCTTCATACTAAGTTGTATTTTTTAATGTTGCAGAGTTTGAGCAAAAAAAAATTTTTGTTTTTAAAACAATTTTTAATACCAAAATTTTAAAACTAGATTTTTAAATCTAAACCAAGTACTGCATTAATCAATGTTAACCGAAATAGTAGGAAAAAAAGTTAAACGGACTATAATGAATCTTGAAGGTTTGAAGTGGACTATTTTCCTTTGTTGATCCTTGCATTGACTCTCTCATTTATTGCTCCAATATTCTCTCAAATTTGTAATAATAGGACGAAGCTCAAGTGAGAGGGTTAGAACCATAAACAATCATAAATGAAAAGAATCTGATTGTCTTACTCGGAGAATCGTAACTGACACTAGCTAGCGGCTGACAGCACGGTCCGGGTCCGGTTCACGGGCCAATTGCCGTACCAGTTTCAGTTATTTTATTTTTTGAATTTAATGTTTTAATGTTGTTTCTCAATTTTAAATAATGTAACATTTTAAAAAAAAAACGTAAAACGGTAAAGTAATCAGGTAAAATAAAATTCCAATTTGAAATATATTAAATATTCAAGTTAATAATTTTGAGTTTACAATGTCATATTGAAATTGAAATTGAAATTACAATCATATTTTAATAATAACTTTTAAAAAAATTGGACGAAATATATTAATCAGAACTTTCACTACTTCCCTACGTTGTTGTAGCTTCTATGAAGTGTTCTTCATCAACAACGTTACCCGCTTTTCTACTATTTTTTGGCGTATAAATTATAAAAATATTTTTCTCATTTAAGAAACATACGCCCATTAATTAATAATTATAATCGGTAGTGGACCGATTGAAAAATATACCCAAGTTGGTCCCTTCAATGCCTATTAAAAATGCCAAAAATTCCAACAATCTTCCAGATGAATGAAAAATTGATGGGGAAGGGCGTGGGAGGGTCGACAACATCCCACTCTTGAAAACCTGCAAAGAACTGGCAAGTGTCTCCACATCTGAACATGTCCCTTGTAAAGTATACCTTCTTTACAGGCTGTTTAGTAGAACGTGATGTCTTTAAACTGTACTGCCGTTTGTGTAAACGAGAGTATACCATACACAGATTCAATCTAAACATCGTTTTGTTCTCATGGTTGTGCCCATTTTGTTTGTGGGAGACGCGCCTAGTTTTGCGAGAGTATTTAGAAGATTTAGGCCTGAATTCTTCATTCGAAGCGACCACACTTCACTCTTACATAGGTGATTCTTCTAAGAGTATCCCGATTACTCCAATAAGACCACCATCTCTAATGTTCAAGAATCATTAAAGTTTATTTATATGCTAGCCTCATCATTTTCGGGAGCCATTGTCTTAAACAGGAATGGAAGGGTCTAACAGGGAGTGTCGCCCCCATAGTGACCAACGCTTCATCTTACACGTAGGTTGTCCCATTGAACCTGGGTACTAGCCAGGTTGGGTTTTCTTTTATAGGATTTTCTTAGTACAAGGGCTTCAAACTCATTCCTGCTACCAACTTCTCATGCAACACATTTGTTAATCTTTTGGTTAGCGGATCCGCTAGATTATCTTTTAACTTCACGTAGTCAATTGTGATAATTCTAGTTGTGAGAAGTTTTCTAATGAATTTGTGTATACGGCAAATATGTCTGGACTTACCACTGTATATGTTACTCTTTGCACGTCCTATTGTTAATTAACAATCACAATAGATGCAAACTGGTGGGATCGGTTTATCCCATCTTGGAATGTCCTTTAGGAAGTGGAATAGCCATTCATCTTCTCACCAAATTTATCTAAAGCTATGAGCTCAAATTTCATGGTGGACCTAGAAATCAACGTCTGCTTTGAGGATTTCCAAGATACTGTTGCACCTGCTAGCATAAAGACATATCCACTTGTGGATTTCAAGTCTTTACCATCAGATATCCAATTTGCATCCATGTATTCCAACACCATTCGATATCTTGAGTACCATAGTCCATAATCACGTGTATACTGTGGTTATCTCATCACACATACAATTGCATTCTAGTGATCACCACTCGGATTGCTAATTTGCCGGTGTGTTTACTCAACTTACTGATGGCACATGCTAAGTCAGGTCGAGTGTAGCTCATTAGATACATCAAACTTCTAATAGCTCTCGCATACCAAATTTAAGAGTTACTGGGACCTCGGTATTTAGCCAGGTGTGCATTGACGTCCAACAATGTCTTAGTTACTTTAGCGTCATCTTTGTTGATCTTGTCAAGAATTTTGTCGATATAATGGGATTGGCTCAGTGCTAGATCGTCATGTCTTCTTACAGTTTTAATTCCAAGAGTTACTTCAGCCAGACCCATGTTCTTCATGTCAAACCGCGAGCTCAACATATCTTTGGTAGACTTGATTATCTTGTCATTGCTACCCACTATGAATATGTTATCAACATAAAGACCTAACATGACATACCCTTGGGACGTATCTTTTAAATAGACACACTTGTCTGCTTCATTAATTTTGAAGCCAGAGTTAGTCATTACTAGGTCAAGCTTTTTATGCCACTGTTTTGACGCTTGTTTAAGACCATATAATGACATAACAACTTTAAAGACCTTCCTTTCCCGACTGAGAACTATAAACCCCTCATGTTGCTGCATGTAGATCACTTCTTTGAGATCCCCGTTAAGAAAAGCTATCTTCACATCCATTTCATGTACTTTTTGTAAAGAACAGATTGCAAGTATCATCCTAATGGAATATATCCTAGACACAAGGGCATGTGTGTCAAAGTAATTATAGTCTTCACGTTGATTGTAACCTTTAATTACTAGTATGGTTTGTACTTATCAATGGAACCATCTGGTTTCATTTGTCTCTAAAAAATCCACTTAAAACCTAATGATTTACATCCCGGAGGTAGATTCACTAACTCCCATGTGTGGTTATGAAAAATAGAATCAACTTCACTTTCAATGGCCTCTTTCCATTGAGGGCCTTCAGACGAAGTTACTGCTTCATGATATATTCATGGTTCCTTTTCTAATGAACATGTCAGAATGGCAGGTTTGCTCTCTATCAGAAATGACAGAATTCCCGATTCAAATTCCAACATGTATGTTAAAAAATCAGGACCAAAGGACTTCTAAATCCGTGTCCTTTTACTTCGTTTTGGTTCAGTCTTAGCTTCAGTTTCACCAATTATACTAGTATTAGACCGAATGAGATAACCATCGTTCAAAATCTCGTCGTGTGAACGTTTATACGAACTTGTTTCGTCTATCAATTTTAACAGTAAAATATAAGTGAAGGAAGTAGGATTCCTTGATTCCATTATCGTGTTCTTGTAACGCCTCAAAACATACCCTAAAATTGTAACACCCCAAAACATACCCTAAAATTATTATTGAATTATTATTCAATTAAACAAATTTATTTTGATTAAAATAAATTATTGTTGGGCTTTGGGACGAAATGAAACTTGTTTTGATATCTAATATCACAATCGAGACAAATCTCATAGAGATAAATCCAATATGTTGACTAGTTGTGTGATCTTGATTGGGAACTAGAGTATAGATCTAAATTAAGAATAAATAAAGAATCTGTTTTCTTTTGGTACAAAAAATGATCTATGTGGCAATTTGGTATAGAAGATAACACAATCCCTACTCATTTGGTACCAAATTAAATCAATTAGAGAGTCTATCGATTTGCCAAGCATACTTGATTTCTCTCTCCTTTTTATTTATGTATTTAACAAGAATATTACTTTTAATAAAATTATATTAATAATAACAACTTTTATATGTTACAATTTTTGTACGGATTACAACGGACGGGGAAGATGAACGGCCACGGAAATAAAAAAATAAATATAATTCTGAATTTATAATTTATTCAAAATATTACAAAATAAACAAAGTTGAAAATAAATTTTTATATCTTCAAACGGCCTTGTTGTACGAGGTCATTAAGGACAAGACAGCGAGGACGTTATGCACTAGGACAGAATGCAGCGAGGTCTTTATGAACTGAACCTGCAAAAACACAACACCGTGGAAGGACAGCGGAGTCGCCGGAGCTGTCCTTAAGGTAGTAGTGCCCGCCTACCGTACCGGAAAAACGTGGGCACTCTCCTCCCAGGATAAAACCGCTATCGTGTGTGGAGATTGTACGGACCAACCACACACCAACGAACAAGAACAACGTAGGAACGTTGGCGACCAAAAACTTTGAAGGGAATTGCCGGAAATTTGGCCGGAAAACCAAGAGCTCTCTCAAAAAATAAACAAGAAAGATTTTCTTTCTTTTNTATATCTTCAAACGGCCTTGTTGTACGAGGTCATTAAGGACAAGACAGCGAGGACGTTATGCACTAGGACAGAATGCAGCGAGGTCTTTATGAACTGAACCTGCAAAAACACAACACCGTGGAAGGACAGCGGAGTCGCCGGAGCTGTCCTTAAGGTAGTAGTGCCCGCCTACCGTACCGGAAAAACGTGGGCACTCTCCTCCCAGGATAAAACCGCTATCGTGTGTGGAGATTGTACGGACCAACCACACACCAACGAACAAGAACAACGTAGGAACGTTGGCGACCAAAAACTTTGAAGGGAATTGCCGGAAATTTGGCCGGAAAACCAAGAGCTCTCTCAAAAAATAAACAAGAAAGATTTTCTTTCTTTTC